TGCATAGCAATTCATCTTACCCAATAACAGTTAGTATTTATGTAAATAATTGCTATGAATTGTTTTTTATTTCTTCTGAAATTAAAAATTTTTATACTTTCTGGCCATTTTTTAATACATTGATGACTATTCTTAGTTCTAGCTCCTTGTTAGTGATTTCTAGATTTAATTTCACGTAAATTAAACACAATACAGTTTGTTTTTGTTAAACTATACACGTGCTTCCATTGCATTGCTTTAATATGTTTTAACATTCATAAATTTTATTACTATAATGTGTGTGAATTTTGGTTCAGATCTGTTCAAGGAATGATATGAACTTCGACACTCATGTTTTATACATTTCACCAATTTTTCTTTCTTACTTTTTATGAATATTTCCCAGAATACATCCTTAGTCTAGTCCAAAATAACGATCTATCATCTAACACAAACTTAGTTTATATTAGTAAATCAATTTTTGGTTTACCTAAAATTAAGATTCGACATTACTTTTTTAAACTCCACACAGTCTGAATCTCAGATTATTTGGGTCCATACTTAATTTATTTGTATATCCCTATTCATAAAATCTGTGAATTTGATTACAAGATGATAACAAACGTTGTTATAATACATGCATAAAATATAAAAAATAAATTAAAATAAAAAATATTTAAGAAACATTTAAAATTATTTGAAAGACTAAACATGTTTTTAGTCCCTCAAGATAAATAATACTTTGATTTAGTTTTTATAAAATTATTATTTTTTGGTTTAATCTCTATACTTTTAAAAAAATATTAATTTTAGTCTTTAATTAATATTAAATAATGATGTGACTAATTCAAACGTGTCAATTTTTATTTCACTTGTCAATTTTTTAAAAGCATAAACGAGAGAACTAAAATTAATAATTTTTAAAATATAAGAATTAAAAAAATAAATTTTATAAAGAAAAAAATTTATGTATTTTAAAATAATAAATATACATTTAAACCTTAATTTTTCATTTTGAGGAGAGATAATTTTTTATTCTTGCCAAAATTCAATTTTCCTAGACTTTCTGCTATCATATACATCCATCCGTAAATAACTCAGTAATATTAAAACTTGTTGGACAACTATAGGATAATTAAATATAAGATAATATAAGTAATAATGATAGCTGGAATCCTAATTTATCAAAAGTTAAATAATATATTACATCCTTTAGCGATTAAAAAGAGAAAAAAAAAAAATCAGCCGTTTGATTTATTGAATACTAGTGGATGCATCGCATGGAAAATATCTATAATTGAATCAATCTTCATCAAAAAAAGAAAAAGATATAGATATAATGAAACTAATCATATTTCTACTCTATCATCAATCTGAATAAAAAAAAAAAATCATCTGTGTCTATATATAAAAATTAGTTTCAAATAAATTACATGAAAGATTGTGGCAATTGAGATCACTTAATTTAATTTTTTAAAAGTTTCTACCGTTAAACCAATAAATTGTATGAACTGTGTCGATGTTTTTTATGGATGTAATGAGCAAATTAATTTGAAAATTATAATTGGTTTTTGTGAAGGCAAAATGTCTTGACAAAACAAAACACATATATTAATAAATAATTTTTTTTATTAAAAAACTGTGATATTTAATTTTATTAGTATATGAAATTATATAATTTTTTTATAAAAATTTATTATTTTTAAATTTTTATTATATACGTTACCAAAAAAGTGTTTTTAGACTACTGTGTGTATTGTTGTGTTTGGTAGTCCAGCCTTCTGCGTGGCAGCTATGAAGTCGTGTTGAGAAAATTACGCTAAATTTTCTTGTAATGTCAGATTTGTGGAAGTGAAAAATAAATGCGGAATATTTGCACACACAAAATTGATAACGGAGTTCAGCCAATAATGCCTACGTCTCCGGACTGCTGCAGATATATTACTGAAAAAGGGAATACACTCAGTGTTTACATAACACTTAAAAATACTCACAACCACTCACAACCCATAACTCAATTATACCCAAAAGCTAAACTATTTTCTCTCTTTTTCTTTCTCTTATTTTCTCTCTATTTTTCTCTCAGAAATGGATGCAATGAATGGATGGAAGAGCTTCGTATTTATAGGCAACAAAGCATCACAATTTGCTAATTTTTCAACCAAAGTTAGGCACCGAAAACGCTAACATTCAACCGAATGTTAAGTACCGAAAATGGCACACTGTTCTTGACTTTTCAACAATCTCCCACTTGAAGACTAATTTCAATCTGTCTTCACACCTCAATCAATGCAACAGTCTTTTCTGGTCTGTTATTCTAGTAGGCCAACTGAAGTTGAACACAACTTAAGTTTTTCAATGGTTACCACCTTTGTTAGCATGTCTGCTGGGTTCTTGCTTCCTATAATCTTTTTCAATGTCAGCACCTCATCCTCAAGCAGAGATCTGATGAAGTGGTAACGTATGTCACTGTGCTTGGTTCTAGAGTGAAATGCTGAATTTTTTTGCTAGATGTATTGCACTCTGACTGTCACTGTGCAAAACACTCCTCTCTTGGATGAATCCCAGCTCTGTTAACAAACCTTGAAGCCATATTAACTCTTTACTGGCTTCTGTGATTGCTACATACTCAGCTTCTGTAGTGGATAAAGCAACAATCTTCTGTATCCGCGACATCCAACTGACAGCTGTAGTACCAACAGTAAAAATGTAACCGGTGGTACTTCTTCGGTGATCGATTTCACCTCCGAAGTCTGCATCTACATAGCCTTGTACTTTTAATTCTCTTTTTCCAAAGTACAAACACTTCTTTGTTGTGCCTCGTAGATACCTCAAAATCTACTTGACTGCTTCCCAATGAGCTTTTCTTGGATTTGCCATAAACCTGCTTACAACTCTCACTGCATGGCCAATGTCTGGCCTAGTATACACCATTGCGTACATTAAACTTCCAATGGCTGAAGCATATGGAATCTTAGCCATGAAGTTTCTTTCTTCCTCCATCTGAGGGGATTGATCCTTGGATAGGCGAAAGTGACTGGCCAAAGGTGTGCTAACCGGCTTGGCCTTGCCCATGTTAAATCTTTGTAAAACACGATTGATATACTCCTCCTGAGATAACTGAAAAAGAGAATACACTCAGTGTTTACATAACACTAAAAAATACTCACAACCACTCACAACCCATAACCCAATTATACCCAAAAGCTAAACTATTTTCTCTCTTTTTCTTTCTCTTATTTGCTCTCTATTTTTCTCTCATAAATGGATGCAATGAATGGATGGAAGAGCTTCGTATTTATAGGCAACAAAGCATCACAATTTGCTAATTTTTCAACCAAAGTTAGACATCGAAAACGCTAACATTCAACCGAATGTTAGGTACCGAAAATGGCACACTGTTCTTGACTTTTTAACAAGTCGCACTTGGTAACTGAGTCATCCTTTCGTCCTCCGCACACTGATCTTTATAAAAAGTTGAATTTATGGATCGTAAAATAATTAGTAGTTTTGATGTTGAATAATCAGATGATTATAAAGATTGGCATAACCCTTTCCATTCCCTGATTTATCACTTGCTTAGCAATTAATTTTACTCAATATCAGTTAAGCATTAAAAAACTCTTATGGATTCTTTTTTGTTCCCTCTGGAATTATAAAATTTTGGTACTTTCTAGCTAATTTTAATATATTGATGACTGTTCTCAGTTCTAGCACCTTGTCAGTGATTTCTAGATTTAATTTCACATAAAGAAAATACAATTTGTTTATGTGACTTTCAGTGAACCGAACTGTAATGTATATAAATCACGCCGCAACAGCGATACAAATGAAAATGAAACATGAAAAAAAATACAAGAAAAGTGTAAGAAGGTAATCCCATAAATGCATTTTGTATTAATTGGTGGTAGCTAGAGGTGGTAGACCAGAGAGCAACAACATTAGACTAAAGCATGGTTCATAAGAAATTTGCACTCTCAAGGACTTGTGGATGAAGGGGGTGGAGAGAGAAATGGAATGGAAGGAATCACAGTTGGGAATGATGATGATATGGAGGGGATGCTTGGAAGTGGTGGAAGGGTGGTAGGTAGTGAGGGTTGTGTAAGTGTTGGGAAAGTAGGCAAAGATGGTAGATTTGGCATTGAAGGCAAAGGTGGCAGTAATGTTGGTTTGGGAAGAGTAGGCAAATTTGGTACACCAGGTTGGGTACTTTGCAGAAGACGACGACCCGCTAGGCAAAAATCCATGCTTGAAAGGGAAATAACTATGAAGATAGCTATTACAAAGGAATTGTGATAGGCCATGGCTTAACTATGTTAAATATTGCAGAGATGGAACAACTAGGCCGAAGCCGAATTAAGGGGAAAAAGCTTTGCTTTGGTTTGAATGGAAAAGTCTTCAGAAGCTGAGTTATTTATAGGCACTTAGTAATGTGAAGCATGTGTTGTAATGGACAATGGTTCTTGTCATTGGTCATCTAATTTAGACTTTTCTTAAATTGATTTTAACCCTTTTTATCCGTTTCTGCCCATTTCATAGATAATAATAATATTTTATTAGAGTTTCTTCGACAAGGCTATACAAAGTTTGTAGCTAAAGGGATTATTTTGACTGGTAAACATCCTAGAAATCATGGGTTTTATGGTACCTTTCTCATTTAGGACATTGGCTTTGGTGGACAAAGGGGGTTGTTCAACGAAAAAAGGTGTAAAAAATATCTTCATTCCCTTCTGATACAGATAAGTTAGTTGACCAACAACGTTTCAGATTATAGTTTGCTGTAAGAGACAATGTTAGTGTTGGGTATGAAGTTGAACTAACAACACTTACACCATTCTACCAACTCAGCTTGTTTACACCATCCCATCAACGAGATGCGCAATTTTGTCTATAAAAGCATCTCATCTAACATCCGCAGAGTATACTCACAAAGCATATCTAAAACATTTGCAAATAGCTCCAAGTTTCAACTCCCGTTGATCTCCTCCTCCTGCAGGTCTTGTCATCGGCTAGATTTAAGCATGGCTTCCAGCAATTTGGCAACAATGGTTTTACCACTTCTTGTTCTAACTATAATGTCATCAACAAGTCACACAACGGTTGTCGGGGCACGCAATCTGCTAGAATCAGTACCAGAAGTGCCACAACTTCCGAAACCTGAGTTGCCACCTCTTCCAGAAGTCCCTGAATTACCAAAGCAAGAGTTGCCTAAGATACCAGAATTGCCAAAACCAGAGCTACCTGAACTGCCAAAGCCTGAACTACCTAAGGTCCCCGAATTGCCAAAGCCTGAGATGCCTAAAGTTCCAGAAGTTCCTAAGCCAGAGCTACCTGAAGTGCCTAAACTCCCAGAATTGCCAAAACCTGAACTACCCAAAGTACCTGAGATGCCTAACATCCCAGAATTCCCTAAAATCCCTGAATTTCCTAAAGCATTTCCATCCACCAATCCTTGAGTTATTTTGAGTCATGCCTTTTGTTGTCTTCATTGGCTGCTATATCATACACCTTCATTTTGTTTCATTGATGTTATATGATTTACGTCAATTTCCTCTTCGGTATAATTTGTTTTAGCTACATGATATTACGAATCTTGCTTGTTATGATTACAAGTTTTATTCAGTCAGAGGTTGTTTAAATCGGTTGTAGTCATACCACTATATACTGATAGTCATATCCTTTAATTATATTCAGAAATATAAACACATGCAAGTTTGCTCATTTGTAAATTAAATGGCGCCTTTGTTTGAATTGCAATGCTTCTTTGCTAAAAGTATATGCAGTTTGGTTGAAATAGGAGCACATAACTTATAGCCAACTTTTACTTAAGATTTGTAAGTAGAAAAGTAGTAGCATATTTTCAAGTATAGCTAAACGATAATAATATACCATAAAAAAGAAAAACTAATAGGACCCTTGCTGCAAAGAACCAAATGAAAAGGGTATAAGAAATTCACCGAACCGAACTGTAATGTCTATAGATTAAGCTGCAACAACGATACAACCAAAATATCAAATGATAAAAACAGAAGAAATCTGTGAAGTAATATCCCACAAATACATTTTATATTAATTGCATACGAAAATCTTTTGGTTAACCCATTTTAACTCAAACTATCAACTTTAGTCGAATGGACTAAAGTTAACATGCAGTAAGTAAAATATACTAAACTATCTGTGAAGATAGAACCGAGAAAGATTCATGGAGGCAGCATTTTAGGCGCTCGTCGCCGAATAAGTATATATTTCACATTATATTTCATACATGTTGTTTTTACTGAATATAAAATTTAATTAAATAAAAATACCATTGAACCTAATGTTCTGTAGTGTGTTTATTTGAATGATCATTTTTTATATTTTTAACATATAAAATACAATTGACATAAAAATGTTATGAATTAGGTAATATATTTATTATATTTATTCAATATTAAATTTATTGATTATAAAGTACAATTAATTAATATAAAAATAATATGTAATGTATTTTTTGGGTAACATTTTATTAGATTCATTAATTTTAAAATTTATTCAATACAAAGTATAATTAACTTGAAATGTTATTAAATTAATAAATTTCTTGTATATTGCACATATATTATTAAATTAAATTAATTTTTAAGTAAAAAATTATTTAAAAATATTTCAATTATGAATTATAAATATTATTTTATATTAAAAATATTAAATTAAAACAATAAGATTTAAAAATAAATTATGAAAAATAAAAATAAATATCAAATTAATAAATTTAAATCTTCAATGCATGATAAATTATGCGATATAATGAAGAAGTAAAAACGCATAAAAACACTCTTAAATTAGATATAAAGATAGATGTTATATTGTTTGTGTAACCTGTTTATTGGATTTTATTAATTGTTGTATTTAGTAAATTTATAATGTGTTTAACTTAAACTGTATTTTAAATTATATATTTATTAGATAATTATTTATTACATTTGGTAAAAAAATTAAATATTGATACGAATAAAACTTCAATAGATATACACAAAAATGTGTTTATTTCGTTTCAAAATAGTTAAAATAAAAGATACAATTCTTTTTTCCAAGTATTTAATAACTATACTTAATAAGTGCATAATATCTTTTTTCAGAAAGAATGCAACTTTAAGTCGTTTTTAAAGGCTTAAATATGTTTGTTTCCACCTCTTAGTAAAATTTTCTTTTGATTGTTTTTAAATAATTTTTTACAAATTTCAATTTTTAGTCCTTATTACTAATTTAAATTACTAAAAGACTGTGAAATGTCAAAAAAAAAAATCTTAATTTGCCAGACCATGTAAGCAAAAGAAATTAAAAATAATAATGTTCTAAAATATAAAGACTAACATTAAAATTTCTTTTAAAGGGGAAACTTATTAAAATATAGAAACTAAAACATATTTAAACTAATTTCAAACCATCATGTCACCATTAAATTATTTTTTTTATCATTTATAAATGATTATATAATCATGTTTTTTTACATTTTTAAAAATATTTTCAATATGTGTGTCCTCTCATCTTTATTTTATATATACATGAATATAGTATGACGCATTCATTTCAATCTTTTGAAATTGTCATTATAATGAATCATATTATTTTATAAATAAAATAGCTTCCTAATCAAGAAGATTATCAGGTCCTACAGATTCTCTCAATTAACATGCTTAATCAACAGCTGTTTAATTTTTCATACCACATGGTGTATCAATTCACCTTAAAAATAGACAAAATAACGGACAACATGGTGTATTGTATCAATTGAAATAATGTCAACGAAAACAAATAAGAATCCGAATATGTTTTTAATATTCTACAGAATTGGAAGTAAATAACGAAGCAGAGATAATAAAAATGTAACAGAAGTGTCCTTGCCATTACAGAATCATATTGTTGGTTAGTTGCTGGCAGTGGGCATAGAGAAACGACACAAGGGGCACATATGACTAGTTTGAAGCCACTGCACAATGCATGGGTGGTGAAAGGCATGATTGCAGGGCATTGTTGAGACCATAGCTGTGCCCTCACCATCACCATTCATATCCAACTCTTCCATGCAAATAGCACAAGACCCTGTGTGTTTCGGAGCATGCTCTGTCTTGAGAGAGTCAAGGGCATCCTTTGAAGCTGGAATCATTCTAATATGTTGCTGTTGCTGCACATCAAACACAATGTCCAAATGCAAACCGAACACATGGGGTTGCAAATCCCAAGCATCATCATCGTCGTCGTCAAAGTCAAACAACCCTTCAACCTGGGATGTTATATTGGGTATTATTTCTTCAAGCAATTCAGAGTTGAAGTGGGGAAGCGATGATAGGTGTGTCCCTAGAAAATATTGACCCTCTCGTTCGAAGAAGCTTTGGCACAATATGGCTGGAATGTAAACGGAGAATCTTTCATAGTCGGTGCGGTTCAAATGAGTCGAGCGATAAACAACGCTCACATTGAGACTAAACCAGTCAGTGGGCATGGGATTCCTACTTCGCCATATTTTCTCTTCGTCGCCTAATCGAAAGACCAGACAACGGTGGAGTGCCATTAATGCGATGAAGAATTAATTAAGGAACAGACTTCGAACCTTCTGTTACTTCAGAATGTGTATATATACAGATATGCAAACACAAACTAGTTTTATCTCCTCCTTGGAAAAAGGCCAAAAGATCAAGCTTGATTGACGAAAAATCTTCCTCATCCTTAATAAATTTATAAGGACGATATCATTATATTCAGTTTATATATAATCAATAATCTAAAACAGCTTAGCGTGCCAACAAATTTTATCTATGATAAACGAATGGTAATGTCAATTTTTTTTATTGATGTTATTAAACAATTCGAATATATATAAGTTTATCTGGTTAAGCGTAAAGTTTTCAAAATACTAAACATTCAAATTAAGAGATAAAGGCATTCTGGCAAAGACACAATCTTAACTGAATTTAAAATATAATCTTAACCGATACACGTTTTAAGATTACTATAATCTTAATTTGAAATTAATTTTTAAATTCTGAAACGTCATAGTAATACAGTTAAAAAATAATTTTTAATTCAATTTTTTTTTAAAATTTGAGTTTTATATATTTTTTATAATTTCATTATGAATTTTAAAGATCTTATTTTTAAAAGTTATTTCCATTTAATTTACTGTAATTATCATTATTTATATTATTAATGAGTTTTTTAATTAATAAAAATTATTGAATTTTAAAATAACCATTATGATATGTCTTTAGTATTTTATTTAAAAATAAATTTTAATTTAATAATACATTTATAATACATATGGAATGACAATTGAGATGCAGATTGAATAATTAAGCGATGACTCAATTAATTGTCATTGTTTAATTACAAGATGCTGAAGAAAGAGAGAAGTTTTATTCCAAAATAAGAGAATGCTTATACAATCATCAACTTAGCATAAAAAGAATTGCGATTGATTTTAAAATTAAATTTGTAAATTTAAATATTCTAGCTGGGTAAGACCCATTGTATGATAACTGCATTTCTTGAAATTTAAATTCTAAATCACGTGTTAGATTAAAATAATCCATCAGTTGATTTATGTAATTGATGATAATTAATATAATAAGTTTATTTAAATTAATAAATAACATATTATTATTTTATCCGTATTAAAATTATGTATAAGATCTTATAAGGATTTCTTCGACTCTTAATGTGAACTCCAATATTTTTAGATTTGGTTTTTTAATCATCTCTTTAATTTTTTCTAATTTTTTTTATCTAGTATTAATTTCATTTATTATTTTCTATTTCTTTATTTTTCTTATTTCTCTCACCCAGTCTATTAATTCTACGATTCATGTGATTGGTGGTAGTCAATATAATTAATTTATTTAAATTAATAAATAATATTTTAATATTTTATCCGTATTAAAATTACTTATAGTGATCAGGATTTCTTCTATTCTTATACGTGAACTCCAATATTTTTGGACCTTTTCTTTTATCATCTCTTTAATTTTTTTTTCTATTTTTAATATATTATGAATTCCATTGATTATTTTCTCCTTCTTTGCTTGCCTTATTTCTATTTTCTCTTTCTTTCCTTTCCTTTCCTTATTTCTCGATCTTTTCTCTCCCCAACCTACATAAAAGAAATAAATGTCATCCTATAATCTTCCCAAATATAGGATTTCTAAACACAACACAAATTATCAACATGTCAGCCATGTCTTGAAAACAAGTACTCGTTGAGTCGTTAAAATTTCACCGCAACGGAAGAGGTTTACTATTTAGCATTCCCATCTTGTACGTCGGAAAAAACACCACATGTCAAAGAAAAGCAAAATAGCCTCCTATATAAACGTATCAAATTCTAGTTTTCGCAGCCTCAAGCTTAGTAGCATCCAACCATGACTCTTTCAAGATTGATAAAAAAAACAAACGACAAGAAACAAAGCACATTGAAAAATGGATCTTCTCCTACAGCCACCATAAAATCACTTCCAAAAGACATGTTGGTGGAAATCATTGCAAGGGTAGCTTCTCATTCTTTCATTGACCTTCACAACGTGAAAATGTGTTGCAAGGATTTTCTCGATGCATCGGAAGATAATCGTGTTTTACAAGAAGTTTCTTTGGATACTTTTCCCCTAATCCTGGGTTTTCCTAACGATAAAACATTGTCTTTTTTAATAAGTTGCAGGGAAAGCGGAAATTTAGAATGCTTATTTAGAGAAGGATTTCTACAATTCTTCAAGTATCCGGATGAAAAGGTTAGTGGTCTTGAGATGTTGAAGGAGGCTGCTGAAAAGGGTCATAAGGGAGCAAATTATATATATGGTATGATATTATTGTGCTCCAAAGATGATGAACAAAGAAAACAAGGACTGGAGCATATGCGTTTTTTGAGAACGTCCATGAGTATCATAATATGCAGGAAAAAGTTAAAACAATTTGAACGATGTATGTGGAGATATGATAGAATGCTAGAGCGCAATCATTCTCCTTTGTGCTCTTGCAAGAGCACATGCAAAGGGTGGAGCGTAAAGAAAGGTCGATGGTTATTACTATATGATGAAGATGATGATCTTGACTCGTGTGAATATTGTAGATGGGATCATGAGTTAGAATTCTTTTATGAGTTATTCAATGTTCGTTAGTTCAGTTTCTATAATCATTTTATTTTAAAGCATTTGTTTTGTATTTTGCTTCGAGTCACCAGCAGAGTCGTACATGTACATGATTCTGACATTCTCAATTATAAAATTATTATTTATAAATCAAAAAATGAGTTTGTTAAACAACACACATCTACTTATTATTATGCCATTTAAGATTGATATGCTTATTTCCATTTAAATTGAGTATAGACGAAATCACCATTTTATTGTTGTAGTCGGTAGAAAGATTTTTCCTCCAAGGTTCAATTAGGCCTTGCAGTAGATATTTCTTATCTTATAATATAATTTTGGTTTTTAAAAAACAAATATCATTGTATATTTTATTATGAAGTAGAATCTTCTTACACTAATTTAAATTTAAAAACTCTTATATTAATTTTTTTTTCTTTTTGGTACGAAAGAGTCCATGCATTCAGGATTTCAGAATGATTTAAGGCCTACACAATGCCATGCAATCATGTCGTGCTGGCTTCAAACCAGTCATGTGTGTCCCTTTTGTCGCTACGCTTTGCCAACCCCCAACAAATAGCGAAATTATTGTAATATTATATATGATTCCAATTAATTCTTGAGTTAATGCATTCCAATATTCAATTTGAAATGCTCAATATTACTTGCTTATATTTGACTTAGTGACTACATCATCCAAATTACACAATATGTTTTACTTAGCTAGGTTATTTAGTTAATTTTATTATTTTGGTTCGTGTTAGTTTTATAAATTTCGAAAGTGTATAATTTCTGCTCCAAAATTACTGGAAGTTTCAAGGTCTACTATCCTTTGAGACTGAGAATTGTAAGGCTATTCAGATATACAAACACATTAAAATTTGCTCATTTGTAAATCAGATGGCTTTGATCGAGTCTAATGGTTTGTTCCAATATTTTCAGAAATATAAACACATTCAAAGGGAAAGAATATATAGAAATTCACTGAACCGAACTGTAATGTATATAAATCACGCCGCAACAACGATACAAATGAAAAAGAACATGATAAAAAATACAAGGTCGTGTAAGGAGGTAATCCCATAAATGCATTTTGTATTAATTGGAGGTAGCTAGAGGTGGTAGACCAGAGAACAACAACATTAGACTAAAGCATGGTTCATAAGAATTTTGCACTTAGTAATGTGAAACGTGTGTCGAAATGGACAATGGTTCTTATCATTGGTCATCTAATTTAGACTTTTCTTAAATTGATTTTGCCTTTGGTTAACCCTTTTATCCGTTTCTGCCCATTTCATAGATAATAATATTTTATCACAGTTTCTTCGACAAGGCTATACAAAGTTTGTAGCTAACGGAATTATTTTGACTGGTAAACATCTCTAGAAATCATTGGTTTTATGGTACTTTTCTCACTTAGGACATTGGCTTTGGTGGACAAAGGGGGTTGTTTAACTAAAAAAGGTGTAAAAAATGTCTTCATTCCCTTCTGGTACAGATAAGTCAGTTGACCAACAACGTTTCAGATTATAGTTTGCTGTAAGAGACACTGTTAGTGTTGGATATGAAGTTGAACTAACACTTACACCATCCTACCAACTCAGCTTGTTTATACCATCCCATCAATGAGATGCACAATTTTGTCTATAAAAGCATCACATCTAACATCCACAAAGTACACTCACAAAGCATATCTAAATCATTTGCAAATAGCTCCAAGTTTCAACTCCTGTTGATCTTCTCCTGCAGGTCTTGTCATCGGCTAGATTTAAGCATGGCTTCCAGCAATTTGGCAACAATGGTTTTACCACTTCTTGTTCTAACTATAATGTCATCAACAAGTCACACAACGGTTGTCGGGGCACGCAATCTGCTAGAATCAGTACCAGAAGTGCCACAACTTCCGAAACCTGAGTTGCCACCTCTTCCAGAAGTCCCTGAATTACCAAAGCAAGAGTTGCCTATGATACCAGAATTGCCAAAACCAGAGCTACCTGAACTGCCAAAGCCTGAACTCCCTAAAGTCCCAGAAATTCCTAAGGTTCCCGAATTGCCAAAGCCTGAGATGCCTAAAGTTCCAGAAGTTCCTAAGCCAGAGCTACCTGAAGTGCCTAAACTCCCAGAATTGCCAAAACCTGAGCTACCAAAAATACCTGAGATGCCTAGTGTCCCAGAATTCCCTAAAGTCCCTGAATTTCCCAAAGCATTTCCAACCACCAATCCTTGAGTTTAAATAGTACCCTTTACAGTCTTATTCTCGTGTTTTAATTGGCTGCTATCCTGCACCTTGTTCTTTCTGTTTGGTTGATGTGATATACTTTATCTTAATTTCGTTTTCTGTATAATTTGTTGTAGTTACATGTGAGGAGTTGTCACAATATAGTAATACTCTCAACCTTATTATTTATGTTCAGTTTGAGATTTTTTAAATCATTATAGTTGTACCACTGTATACTGATAGTCATATCCTTCTTAACGTGTGAGTGTTGTGAATTTAGTAAAATTGTAATTTCTAAGCATAAATTTCTAGATACTCTTTCTTTATTGTAATTCTTCCCTATTTAGAAGCCTAACAGAGAACCAGCTTTGAATAATAAGTGATTAAAACGGATGCACAAGCACTCATAACGGTAGTGCTTTTATAGACCAAGAGATACAATTATAATAACAAAAAATTACTAATCAAATGAAAACACAAGTTGGGTTTTATGGCTAATAATTGGGAGGCTAATTGTATAGAATGGATGGTGAAATTTTCCAAATTCGTTGACGTACTTGACTAGTTTCCGCATCAAGATTAATCATGGTTCAACTATTCTTGCTCCTATGTTTTGGGTTTGAAATTCTGACTCATTTTATTTTGTTATGTAAAGAAAAGGGGCAAAAGATAGTCACTTGCGTAATTAAACGAATTAAAGGTTTATTTTAGTTCGTAACCAATAAATTTTTGCCAAATGTAGTTCTAACTACACTTAATGTGGGTTAATTTTAGCCTATTGAAAAGGTTCACATTCAGTTGGTATATTGTAAGATGTGATGATGAATTCTAAATTGCAATATTTTTATTTTACTATAAAATTTTTATCAATTATAAAAAACATGTACATAAATCGTGTGATTATATAGATATATTACACAAAATGATAAAAAAGAATTATAAAAACTATAGATATCTAAATTATGTAAACAAAAATTTACATAATTCATGTTACCTAAATTTCTCGTGCCTTCCTTTTCCTTTTAATAAAGGTATCTAACTTTAAACATAATTATTCAAACGTAAACATCCTATTAGGTACAAGCGCACATATACATAAAAATTATATAATTACGTATTTTTTTGTTATTATAGTTTTTAAAAATTTTAAAAATATATTCAAAAACAAGTTTAAAAATTGTAATATAAAAGTTTAAAAAATATATAGATGTAATAAAAATTATATTTTTAAACAATATTATCGAATATAACAAAAAAATTAATATTTTTTAATTCAAAAATAATTAAAAAATAAACGTATTAAGTAATATAATATGTATTTAATTAATAATCATTCCCCAACTCAATTTAACTATATAAGCTAAATTTATATTGTTAATCTCTTTGAAACTAATGTTCTTATGAGATTTGGCTCTACAAATTTTCTCTGAGGCTATTAATGACATTTCTTATTTATAAAAGTAGAGTCCCAAATAAAATTTTACATAATTTATTTATCACCTCACAAGTAAAAGGAGAAGATGAATTTGTATGATATAATTAAAAATACTCATTATTCTAGACTGAGCTAAACTAACTTTTTTAGTAAAAGAAATTGAATTAATTTTTTAATTAGACAACTTTCTTTTAATTTTATTATGTTTGAGTACATACTCTTCTTACATTTTTTTACTAAAATTGGAATGCCCAAATAATACTTTATGCCTTTAGACCACCTAATTTTTGGGGTCTGACTAATCAAATTTCTCTTCTCATAAAAAAAAATATAAGATTTATTATAATTAATTTCTTGGCTAGATGCATAATAGAATATATTCAATATCGTCTAAATTATCTGTACTTGATCTAAAGAGGCTGCAGCTACCAAAATCAAATCATATGCATAAAACAAGTGAGAAATATTTGACCCTCTCTCTCAAATTGAAACAAATGTCAATCTCTAATTTAAACCTAAGATTAAATATACAAAATATATAAAGCTAACATTTTTAAGCATAACACATAGGAAGACAAAGGATCTCCCTAATGAATTGCCCTTGAAGGTAAAAACTATGCAAAAGATCTCCATTGTAGTTTATCATAAGTTTTCAAATTTTTAAAAGAATAAATAATTTCTTAAAAAACTATATAATTATTGTTAAGATTTTGATAAGTGTATTAAGTTTTCATTTTAATAAAGAAGTATAAGTTATCGTATGCACAGAGATTGATAAACACAAAATCAATATAAATGAACATATATATATATATATATATATATATATATATATATATATATGAATCACAAATAATACATTAAATTTGAAGATTTACATTTAATCCAATAAGAGTTTTAGTTGCCTATTGCAGTCATAACAACAAAAAGGGAGTAAAAATGATATGTAAAGCTTGAATGTGAGCATTTCCACTCATTTCTTCTATTCTTAATGTATTTCTCTCTAAAACTTTAAAAACTTCCTTTAGAAACTTGGGAACTACCTTAAATGAGTTTGAAAAAAGTTATTCTTACTACAATGAGATTGTATTTTTTTCATTACAACGCCAATACTGTAACTACACTGAGAGTTGGTGTCAAAAACATGATATTATGTTTGCTTCTCGTTATATCGAGAAGAGCACATAACTTTCTTTTTTCTTAAATGAATCCTCGTTGTAGTGAGAGAAGAACAACATCAACTCATACTTTTAGACTTGTGTTTTTGCTTGTTTCTTTCAAATTTCTTTAATTTGTGAAAAATTTTCTCCTTGGATTCAACCTACAAAATATATCAAAAAGGGATTCAAATATTTAAATTTTCATTCTTCTTCCTCTATCAACTAGTAAATGCAATTATTTCAAGTTTAGGAAGATTTAAATAAAAAAATTCAAACACTTAAACATAAAAAGTGTTTAAAATATCACCTAAAACTACTTAATCTAGACATTTATCACTAAACCTTAGACCATAAATTAAGATACTATCATTTAAAATAAAATTAAGCATTAAAAACACAATGAAACCACCAAGAGCGGCCTAAGGCCTAGACAAGTAAGGTAAGAGCTTTCGGCCCCCCAAATTTTTATTTTTGTTAGTTTTAATATACCTTTAAAAATTAAAAAGATTAAATTTAAAAAAGTTTTTAATTCAAATATTTAATTTAATTATTAAATTTTTATTGATATTACAAATAGTATTTAATTAATCATAATTCTCAATTAATAATAATAAATTATTTTATTAATAAAAAAGCCTCATTTTTAAATTTGCTTTAGACTCTAAAAACTCTTGAGCCACCACTGAAAATCACCAACATCCATAGAAATAAATAACTATATATAAATCATCCAAATATTTTAGAGTTTAAGATTACATCTAATTTCAATGGGACTTTAGTCACCCATAGTAGTCATTACAACAAAAGAATATGATAAAATAGATGAAGATTAATGTCCAAAACTTCTAGCTCTAGCTTCTTTTACTCTGTCCCATTTTTTGTTCTTCCTTCTTCTTTATTAAAAAGTGATTTAATGAATTCTCACTTAAATTAAAATTAGACGAATTGTTAATTTTATTTTTTATATTTTTGCTCAAACAAAAAATCTTTTTCTTAAAATTTTTCGCTTGAAAATTTGGCAGAACTCCAGTGAAGAGATCTGGTTACCTTTTTTTCAAATACGTAATACGAGGAGGTAATTTGTTGACACCGAGAATGATAGAAGAAGCTTCAAATCCTAGCTTGAGTTGTCATGGGAACCTTAGCGTTGCGTGTGTTGTGGGAAGGTCCTCCAAGGAAGAGGCAAAGAGTGAGAAAGCTCAAACCAAGATAATCACAACTGTTGAATCTCGTGCTTAAGCAATAAGAATTCACGTCTTTTTTTTTTTTCCTTGTCTTCCTTTGTCCCTAAGTTCCTGTAAAATAAAGAATTCAACAAAAATAGGTCATATCTCTATATTGAAATAGTTGGTTAATTCAAATTCTTTCAAATTAAAAAAGAAATTAAAACTCAAATTAATTCATTAAATAAAATAAATGTCTTAATTGATGTTACAAATTATGAAGACTTTGCACTTATTAATTATCTATATCTTGTCTATCAGGAGCAAACTGTATTGCCTTTTGAAAATTAATTGAAGAAGCATAAATTTAATTCTATTGGTTAAGATTTTTGTTAACATTTTATGTATTACATTGTAAAGAGATATAAATCAATATTGGAAAATATTTTTAAGGTGAATTTATTTAAAAATTAAAGTCAAAATAATCTAATTAACTTCATAAATTTTAGTAGAATCAACAAAAATATCATTAAAATTTCTTAAAATATGAGAATGAAATAAATCTTATTTTAATTTAAAAAATAAAGCATGCAAACTATCCTAGCCTAATATTTGTAATTGCTCAGACTAAAAAGGGTAATTTTAATTTCTTCAAGAAAAATACTTTATTAATATAATCTACATCAACCTGATGTAAATAGCCTATAAATAATGTAAATATTTAGAGCTTTATATTAGTAAAATTTTCATACATTATATATATATATATATATATTATATTGCATTAATTTTTAAATTTATATTTTACAAATTTACAAAAGTAAATATTTTTATATCTAATAATAATTATATTAAATAAAACTAAAGTAAAGAAACAAAATTTATAATGAAAAGCATATTATCATACATTAAAAATTGTGAAAAATATGTAGCAAAAAAAATGCGAAAAATTAGTTAGAATGTTCTATTTTAAAGAGTGAGTTTTATTCTGAATGTATGAAAAAAAATATTTTAGTTAAAATAGTGATATGACATTATATAAAAGAAAAATTAAAATTTTTACCTCAGTTTTGAATTTACTTCTATAATAAAAATAGATTAATAAGTATTTTACATATCATTCAACATCTTTTATATATAATATCAAAAGGATAGATTAGGGATCCATATCCTCTATAGTTAAGCAAAAACTGCAGTCTGTAATTTAAATTTACTTTAAAAAAAAGTTTGCTAACAAATTTGGTAAAAAAGTGAGAGATTATGTAGTCACATTTTATGGTTATAACACTAAAACTTAAAGATTTCAGAATATGTAATACTGCAATTACTTTTTAACTAATTTTTAAAAGTCATCATTCTTATAATATTTATTATCATTCTCAATAATTTAACTTAATTTCAAATAATTCTACCTCAATAATGCTTAATAAAAGTAGTACATAAGATAATACATTTAAATATTTGGTAAAATGATATATATAAAGATCATTGGTAACTAAGTAATCATTGATAAGAAATAAATATTTTTTAAATTTTCTGTAGTTAAGAGAAAAAGAAAATAAAGTTTTAAAATTTTGCATAATTTTAGTTTAAATAAATTTATTATCTTAAGCAAAAATTAATTTTTATTAAATTCGCTTAAGCACATTTAGACTGCATGTTGTAATTCTTGTAAAAACTAGAGAGGATACTTTTTGAAAAATAAAATAAAGATTAAGGGTTAAGATTAATATAATAATATTCTTTGGTTTAATTTTTATTATGTCGTTCAAACTTTTACAAATAGAATATGACATTTTAATTTTAAAGATAATAATCAACTTTTTTTAAAAAAAAACAACAAAATACTTATAATAATAATATATTTTGAATTTGAAAAGATTAATATGATCTTTTACAATCATGATGATTAATGCGTGTTTGGATTCACCTTAAAAAGTGAATAAACGTAATACAATTCATAAATTATAATTAATAGTATTAAAATAAATAAATTTATAATAAATAAATAAGAAATCAAGCATACACTTAATATGATAACAAAATTGATTTGAAAATATTTACTAGCTTGTGATTTAATTTTAATCCAACTAAGGATTATAGAACAAAAAAATTTATTTAACATTGTTGAGACTACTTCTATCTATAAATAAATAAATTAGGAGATAAACACCCTACTATATACATTATTTTAATAGAAATTTTCTTTCCATGACTCAGATGAATAGATAACACATGTAATCGATCATTAAATATAGTATATTTAGATTTATTTTTTTTAATTTTAATATGAACATAATTATCTAATCAAGATTCACTTAAATTGTTTAAGCAAAATTAAATTTGATTGGCACTGTTTTTTTTTTTTAATCAACAAGGCTTAAAAGTTTAAAACAAACAAACTAATTACACAATTTAGACAAATAGAGAGTCCAGCCTTAAAAAAGGATCCAAGGAAGAGGGCTTCATGAAAATAAAGGGAAGGAACCCCAGACTTAGTCCCAAGCTTAGCTAAACCGTCTGTATATTGGTTTGCTTCCCTAAGCATATGACTAAACCTAACAAACTTAATACTTTTAAGGAGAGACCTAATTTCCTTGATTACAAAAAAAAGAGGAAGATTACTATTCTGAATCTTAGTAATTAAAATGATGGCTTCCTTACAATTATTTTCAATCCAAATAATATAGATATTTTTGGATATGACTAATTTGATGCTCCAAAAGATTCCCCAAGTTCAACAGCAGGAGGGGAACATGGTTGGAGGATGTTGCAAAAACTAGTTATAAAAATTCCCTTGTGATCACGTATAAGGCCTCCACAGCTAGCAATTCTCAGGTTATGCGATACTATCCTCAGTGTTCAATTTGAAATGCTTGTCTGGGGGGCTGCCATCTAATCGGATTTTGGGGTTTCTCATGATGAGTAGGAGATTTCCATCTGTTCCTGCCACAAAAATAAATGAATTCAATTTCATTTATAATCTTGTTCAGCAGAGCCTCATTACTTAAGGGATAATTTTGGAACACAACACAATTTCTATTATGCCAAAGATTACAAATCACAATTCCAAACAAAATATGCCAAAAAGGATGCAAGTGAAAATTAATAGCACAAAGATTAAAAACGGGCTAATTATGAAGACCTAAGATGAAGAAAGGAACCCCCTTATCCGAGGGAAGCAGTTTAGACCAAATTTGAGATGCAAACCAACAATTTTGGAGGACATGGATCATAGATTCAAGCGCCTGGGACACAAAGGAGAACTAGTCATATTGCGGTGAAATCTCTCATCACTAGTTAGAAGTCTCTCATAAGCAACTTTCCACAATAAAACAGTAACTCTAAGGAGACCTTTCCAGTTTGAGATTAGTTTAAAATTTTGATTATTATTACTCCTCTTATCACTACAATTAGAAAGGAGAGTATAAGTTGATCTGATAGAAAATAAACCATTGCTAGTCAATCTTCAAAAAAACTAGTCCTAAGATAGGAGGGTCAACCTCAGCAATCAGATCACAAATAAAATCAGGGAGAACCTGTTTAGTTTTCTACCAATCCCAGCAGCCATTATGAGAAAAAAGAGCTATCAGCTCCTTCAACTCTTTAAAATTAATTGAATGGGAAGCATACCTAGATAAATTAGGAATATTATAGAGCCAATGATCTTGCCAGAACCTAACTATCATACCATTACTTAAAATCTAGCCCAGACCTTGATAGAACCTATCCTAAACATCCAACATACCTTTCCATAAATAAGAGTCATTCTAGCGATTGGTACAAACCTAATGTTTATCTAAGTTAAAATTATATTTTTGGTAAATCACCTGAGCCCATAAGTCATTTGGGAGGTTATGAACCTCTAACAAAGTTTCATTCTGAAAGCTTAATTAACTATGTGAATATCTCTAGAACCTAGACCTCCCTCCTACTTGGGTTTACACATAATTTTCCAATTAATTAGATGACACTTCTCATTCAAAGAACCACAAATGAATCTTTTACAAATTTTATCAATTTCCTTACAAACAGCTATAGAGATAGAAACAACTTGTATAAAATAATTAGGAATACTAATGAGACAAGATTGGGTAAGAGTAATCCTTCCAGCCATAAATAGGAAATTTATTTTTCAAATAAAAAGTTTTTTTCTAATTTTATCAATAATGAAATTAAAATCCTATCTATTGGTATTGTTTGAATCTTATCTAAGTAATATCTAAAATGACATAAAATTAGTTGATTAAGCAACAAAATATTCACTTAAGTAATAATAAAAAATTATTTCACTTAAATAAAATACAAGATTTTTATCGAATGCTTTTTATTCTATTTTTACTTAAATTTAATTAAATTTATTTAGACGTACTTAAACAAATATCTTTTAATTTAAGTGAATATTTTCTGTTAAAGTGATCGAACTTTATGTCACTTTAGGTTTACTTAAACAAATTTCAAACATTACCAAGTAAATTTAGTTTTTTTAAGTGAAACTGAACTCATTTAAATAAATATTATTCAATTTTACTTAAGTGATTCTAAATTTACTGATTCTCATGTTTGATCCCAGCTACTTTAGAGTACTTTAAAGAGAAGAAAGCCATTCTACTCTTGTATAAGACTTAGACATGTTAAGTTTAAGTAACTACATATCTATTCCTACCGTTATTCTTCTTTTTTCATTTAATGAAAACAATATTCAAAAGTAAGAAAAACATTATTGATAACAAGCATGTTGGGAACAAAAGTACTTCGATATTTTTAGACAATTTCCAAGTCTAAATTCACTAATATGCAATCATTAATAAACATTAAATCAAACCCTTATTAAAAATTTTAAAAGATCAATAAATACCAATTGCAAGGCCTAGTCGAACCCTCCGAGAGAATCTTTCCACCAATTACAATAATTGAACTAACTAACGAACATCAAATAACTCATAAAAGAATTGTAACTCATGATCCCATCTACAATATTCACACGAGTCAAGATCATCATCTTCATCGTCTAATAATAACCATCCACCGTTCTTTATCCTCCACCCCTTACATGTGCTCTTGCAAGAGCATAAAGGGGAATGGTTGGGCTCTAGCACTCTATCATATCTCCACATGCATCGTTCAAATTGTTTTACCCTTTTCCTGCATGTTATAATACACATGGACGTTCTCAAAAAACGCATGTGCTCGAGTCCCAGTTTTCTTAACCCATCATCTTTGGAACACAGTAAGATCATACCATACATATATTTTGCTCCCTTGTGACCCTTCTCTGCAGCCACCTTCAACATCTCAAGACCTCCAACCTTTTCATTCGGATACTTGAAAAATTGTAGAGTTCCTTCTCTAAATAAGCTCTCTAAATTTCCGCTTTCCCTGCAACGTTTTAAAAAAGACAAAGCTTCATCATTTAGGAAATTCTGTATTAGCGGAAACTTATCCAAAGAAACTTGTTGTAAAACATGATTATCTTCCGACGCATTGAGAAAATCCTTGCAACACATCTTCACGCTCTGTAAGTCGGTGAAAGAATGTGAGGCTACCCTTGCAACCACTTCAACTAACAAGTCTTTTGGAAGTGATTTTACTGTAGTTGCAGGAGAAGACCCATTTTTTAAGGTGCCTTGTTTCTTGTCGTTTGTTTTTTTCATCAAACATGAAAGAATCATGATTGGATATTGTTAAGCTTGAGCCCGAGAGAACTCAGGGTCAAGATCTATGTATTTTCAATACTAGAATATAATGTGTTTATATATAGGAGACTATTTTGTTTTTCTTTGACATGTTGTAAAATCTTTTTTTTTCGGACATCGAAAACAGGAATGCTAAATAGTAAATATGATAAAAAACAATAGACAAAAATTAAAGAGATGATAAAAAAATATCCAATGAAGCCTCCTATAAAATCTTGATTTGTTTTTTTTTTTTTAACCAACAGCAAGAACTTAATTATTACTGATATGAGAAAAATTTAAAGGGAAAGAAATCTAACTAATCTGATAATTTGGAGTGAGAAACTAATGAAGAGAAGCCTTGCATTCATTCTCAATAATATTTGTCTAATCTTTCTCCTTCACGCGTTTGAGAGACCCAAGAAATACAATGTATTGATGGTAATAAAAATAGAAAAAAAAAATATTATGTGCATTAAATATTTCTTTCACAATTATATATAAAAAAATTAATTAAAGTTAATTATTAAATGTTATATTTACTACGTGTATGGTTTTTCATATTACTAATATTTATTAAGAAAATTATTGCTAAATTAAAAAGTAATTTATTCCTATATTATAAGTTAGAGTCCTCACTCTTGAATGAATGTGTTTTTATAGGAAATATTCTCCTGCATCAACTCTACGTCACAAGGTGAAACGTCATCATGAGCCAATAAATAAAATATTAAAGACTAAAAAAACTAAATATATTTAATATTAAGTATATTTGAGAAAAAATAAAATAAAATCGTAATCATTATCTCTTATTCTCTATGCTTTAAATCAAAATAAAATCCTAATAATTATATATTATTTCTTTTTCGACGATCTTAACTAATAATACATCTCCTACATACTTTTTCCGTTTCCTTTCTTAAGTCTTAACAGGATTCTTACACCTTCACCTTGCCTTCCACGGAAGATTCTTCTTCATTTTTAATTACTTAAATCTAATAAAAATAAAAATATTTTTTATTTTGATTCAATGTTTAAAATTATTTAAGCTTTTGTATATTCAAAAGTATAATTATAATATTTTTAAATAAAAAACTAAATAATAATCCAGAAATACATGTTTTCTTTAAATTGATTAAAAATTGAAAACAATTAATTTTAAATTAATTAATAAAATTTAAAACCAAAAAAATATGATCATGACTTTTTCAAATTGATTATTTTTCATTATTTAAAATTTAATACATTAAAAATAATTTAATATGTTTTTAATTTTTATAAAATGGCTTTTCTTAGAATGATAATTATCAAACGTTGCATTTGGAAAAAAAATTTCTCCTTGTTTGTGAAAAAATTCACAAGCATTATTTTATTTGATCATTTTAATGGTTAATTTATTTTAAGAGATAAAAGTTTTTTTTTATCAAATATTTTATTTTTTAATTTATTGATTTTATGTAATAGTTAATTGTAATCTAGATCTTTATTAAATAACTACTAAAAATAAAAAAGTATATTTAAAATGAAAAATAATTAATCTAGATATTTATTTACTATTTTAACAAATAATTCATTTAATTTAGATGTAAATATTTTTAAAAATTTTAATACTTTATTTATTGACTTATAAAAACGTGAGACGTCTTGTGATGGAGCGCTATAATTTACTGTAAAATAAATCAAAATTTTATTATATTTAAATTAAATGTGTGCGTCCGCACTTTGGTATGATTAGATGTAATAACAATGAGTAAAAAGAAAATGAATAAAAATAATATGATGAGAAAGAAATATATGAGAAATGTGATGAAAAATATATGTTGTTTGGATAGTTTATAAGAGAGAAAGTAGTGAGAAAATTTTACTTTATTAGTTTATATGAATGGAAAAGAGAATAAAAGTATAGGTAAAAAATATTTTTATAGTAAAAATAAGAATTTTATTTTAATAAAATATCATAAAATTTAATATAACACTTTTTCTTATTATGTTATTTTAAAGTTTTTATATTATTTTAAAATTTATTTCCAACTTTTAAATATATAAAATAAAAAAAACCACCTTTTCAGCATAAAATCTTACCATTTTGTGTAATAAAATTTGTATGTGAGTTTCACAGAAAATATTATTTTTCATTCATATAAACAAAAAATTTAAACACATGAAATTATGCCTTGAGTATTATTTTTTGTTTTAGCCTAACATGTTTTCCTTTTATCTGGTTGATGATTTTAGTTATCATTTATTTTGTGGGACTTTTGCATCTGGCTACTTTTAATTATTTTAGTATTATTGCTTGTTACCACCTATATAAAAAGGAGAAGAACCACCTCTTTGGACGCCGTACACTCTAATGTTAATTTTTTATATATTTGTTTTTATGTATACTTTATTATATGTCATGGTTCTATTTTTTAATTAATTTTCATTTAAAAATTAATTTAATTTAATAATATATGTGCAATATACAAGAAAATTATTAATTTCATAACATTTTCAAGTTAATTATACTTTTTATTGAATAAATTTTAAAATTAATGAATCTAATAAAATGTTACCCAAAAAATACATTACATATCATTTTTATATTAATTAATTGTACTTTATAATCAATAAATTTAATATTGAATAAATATAATAAATATATTACCTAATTCATAACATTTTTATGTCAATTGTATTTTATATGTAAAAATATAAAAAATGATCATTCAAATAAACACACTACCTAAAGAACATTAGGTTCAATGGTATTTTTATTTAATTAAATTTTATATTCAGTAAAAACAACATGTATGAAATATAATGTGAAATATATACTTATTCGGCGACGATCGCTTAAAATGCTGCCTCCATGAATCTTTCTCGGTTCTATCTTCACAGATAATTTAGTATATTTTACTTACTGCATGTTAACTTTAGTCCATTCGACTAAAGTTGATAGTATGAGTTAAAATGGGTTAACCAAAAGATTTTCGTATGCAATTAATATAAAATGCATTTGTGGGATATTACTTCACAGATTTCTTCTGTTTTTATCATTTGATATTTTGGTTGTATCGTTGTTGCAGCTTAATCTATAGACATTACAGTTCGGTTCGGTGAATTTCTTATACCCTTTTCATTTGGTTCTTTGCAGCAAGGGTCCTATTAGTTTTTCTTTTTTATGGTATATTATTATCGTTTAGCTATACTTGAAAATATGCTACTACTTTTCTACTTACAAATCTTAAGTAAAAGTTGGCTATAAGTTATGTGCTCCTATTTCAACCAAACTGCATATACTTTTAGCAAAGAAGCATTGCAATTCAAACAAAGGCGCCATTTAATTTACAAATGAGCAAACTTGCATGTGTTTATATTTCTGAATATAATTAAAGGATATGACTATCAGTATACAGTGGTATGACTACAACCGATTTAAACAACCTCTGACTGAATAAAACTTGTAACCATAACAAGCAAGATTCGTAATATCATGTAGCTAAAACAAATTATACCGAAGAGGAAATTGACGTAAATCATATAACATCAATGAAACAAAATGAAGGTGTATGATATAGCAGCCAATTAAGACAACAAAAGGCATGACTCAAAATAACTCAAGGATTGGTGGATGGAAATGCTTTAGGAAATTCAGGGACTTTCGGGAATTCTGGGATGTTAGGCATCTCAGGTACTTTAGGTAGTTCAGGTTTCGGCAATTCTGGGAGTTTAGGCACTTCAGGTAGCTCTGGCTTAGGAACTTCTGGAACTTTAGGCATCTCAGGCTTTGGTAATTCGGGGACCTTAGGAATTTCTGGGACTTTAGGGAGTTCAGGCTTTGGCAGTTCAGGTAGCTCTGGTTTTGGCAATTCTGGTATCTTGGGCAACTCTTGCTTTGGTAATTCAGGGACTTCTGGAAGAGGTGGCAACTCAGGTTTCGGAAGTTGTGGCACTTCTGGTACTGATTCTAGCAGATTGCGTGCCCCCACAACCGTTGTGTGACTTGTTGATGACATTATAGTTAGAACAAGAAGTGGTAAAACCATTGTTGCCAAATTGCTGGAAGCCATGCTTAAATCTAGCCGATGACAAGACCTGCAGGAGGAGGAGATCAACAGGACTTGAAACTTGGAGCTATTTGCAAATGGTTTAGATATGCTTTGTGAGTGTACTCTGCGGATGTTAGATGAGATGCTTTTATAGGCAAAATTGCGCATCTCGTTGATGGGATGGTGTAAGCAAGCAGAGTTGGTAGGATAGTGTAAGTGTTGTTAGTTCAACTTCATACCCAACACTAACAGTATCTCTTACAGCAAACTATAATCTGAAACGTTGTTGGTCAACTAACTTATCTGTATCAGAAGGGAATGAAGATATTTTTTACACCTTTTTTAGTTAAACAACCCCCTTTGTCCACCAAAGCCAATGTCCTAAATGATAAAGGTACCATAAAACCCATGATTTCTAGAGATGTTTACCAGTCAAAATAATCCCTTTAGCTACAAACTTTGTATAGCCTTGTCGAAGAAACTGTAATAAAATATTATTATTATCTATGAAATGGGCAGAAACGGATAAAAAGGGTTAAAATCAATTTAAGAAAAGTCTAAATTAGATGACCAATGACAAGAACCATTGTCCATTACAACACACGCTTCCCATTATAAGTGCCTATAAATAACTGAGCTTCTGAAAAGTTTTCCATTCAAACCAAAGCAAAGCTATTTCCCCTTTAATTCGGCTTCGGCCTAGTTGTTCCATCTCTGCAATATTTAACATAGTTAAGCCATGGCCTATCACAATTCCTTTGTAATAGCTATCTTCATAGTTATTTCCCTTTCAAGCATGGATTTTTGCCTAGCGGGTCGTCGTCTTCTGCAAAGTACCCAACCTGGTGTACCAAATTTGCCTACTCTTCCCAAACCAACATTACTGCCACCTTTGCCTTCAATGCCAAATCTACCATCTTTGCCTACTTTCCCAACACTTACACAACCCTCACTACCTACCACCCTTCCACCACTTCCAAGCATCCCCTCCATATCATCATCATTCCCAACTGTGATTCCTTCCATTCCATTTCTCTCTCCACCACCTTCATCCACAAGTCCTTGAGAGTGCAAATTTCTTATGAACCATGCTTTACTCTAATGTTGTTGTTCTCTGGTCTACCACCTCTAGCTACCACCAATTAATACAAAATGCATTTATGGGATTACCTTCTTACACTTTTCTTGTATTTTTTTTCATGTTTCTTTTTCATTTGTATCGCTGTTGCGGCGTGATTTATATACATTACAGTTCGGTTCACTGAAAGTCACATAAACCAATTGTATTTTCTTTATGTGAAATTAAATCTAGAAATCACTGACAAGGTGCTAGAACTGAGAACAGTCGTCAATATATTAAAATTAGCTAGAAAGTACCAAAATTTTATAATTCCAGAGGGAACAAAAAAGAATCCATAAGAGTTTTTTAATGCTTAACTGATATTGAGTAAAATTAATTGCTAAGCAAGTGATAAATCAGGGAATGGAAAGGGTTATGCCAATCTTTATAATCATCTGATTATTCAACATCAAAACTATTAATTACTTTACGATCCATAAATTCAACTTTTTATGAAGATCAGTGTGCGTAGGATGAAAGGATGACTCAGTTAAGTGTGACTTCACAGTTGCCACGCAGAAGGCTGGACTACCAAATACACAGAAAGACATAATAAAAAGTAAATTACTCTCAATTATTCAAAATGAGAGACGGATTTAATTACCAACTACTACCTGCACACAACAATACACACAGTAGTCTAAAAACACTTTTTATGTAACGTATATAATAAATATTTAAAAATAATACATTTTTATAAAAATATATATATATAATTTCATATACTAATAAAATTAAATATCACAATTTTTTAATAAATAATTCTTTATTAATATATGATAATTAATAATCTTTCTTCTTCTCTTTCACAAAATATATGCATTGCTAATATTTAATTTGGCATCTCGGAAGACGCAATCAGCTACCATATAATATAATGTGTTTTGTTTTGTCAAGACATTTTGCCTTCACAAAAAACCAATTATAATTTTCAAAGTAATTTGCTCATTACATCGATAAAAATGTCGACACAGTTCATGCAATTTATTGGTTTAACGGAAGTTCAACCACAGGCAATTGAAATTAATAAAATATGCATTTTTAATACCATATAATATATTTAATAATAAATTAATAGAAACTTTTAAAAAATTAAATTAAGTTAAATTTTAAATTGATATAAAATTTATATTACATATTTTATAAAATAAAATTTTCGTAATAAATAGTTATAGAATATTGATCTACAAATAGATCTCCGACATGGGCCTTTATTTATTTAAAAAAATGTTTTATATGAATACAATAAAATAAAAACGAGAAAAATAAAATAATTATTGTATTAAAAAAATTAGTTCAAATCAATTTTTGATCGAGCCAACCAATTCAATCCAATTTTAAATAATGACAAAAATTATAAACAATATAATATACAAAAGATGGAAAAATGCGTAGGAAGATACGTATATAAAGTATATAATAATATTTGTAAGTTTTAGTGTTAAAATCGAATTGGATACATAGGTGTTTCGAAATATACAATTTTGTTGAGATATATCTGTGAGAAAAACTTCAGAAAAAAACAAAGTCGAAAAATAATGATTTTCTCTTTTTTTTTTAATTTCATAAAATCTTTATGAAACTCAATACTTGACTTATTATTATTTTGTTTTATTTTAAATTCAAATTATTAAAGTTTTGTAAAGGATATTTTATTTATGTAATTTTATCTCTTGCACTAATTAATTAAAACTTATTTTTAATATATAAAAAGACAAAAGATATATATTAAAAGAAATTATGGAGCTATTGCTTGTACCTTTCCTATATAGTTGTTGAATTAGGCATTAGATACAATTATGATTTTGCTTCTTCTTCTTCTTTTTTTTTTGGTATATGATTTTTCTTCTTTTAAACTTTTGAAACTGCTTAATTAATATTAGATGCAATCATGATATTTCTTTTTCCTCCTTTTAAGCTCTTGAAAACTCCTAATCAGCCATTTAACAAATTCTTTATCAAACATCAATACTTGAATTATTATAATTTTATTTCATTTTAGATTCATATTATTAAAATAGAACTTACATAATATAGCACCAACACTTTTAGTTATAAACTAACTTATTTATTTTATAATTTTATAAAGGATGTTTTATTTATCTAATTTTATTGATCGAACAAATTAATTTAAATTATATATATATAAAGAGATTAAATTATATCGATATATATAATTAAGTTATATTTATTTTTACACGGTTAATAATTTAATATAAAAAATAAACTTTATTAATCTAACCATTGAATTATAATTATATATTATTTAGAGAGTTGGTGTACAAACCTTGGACTATCCAGTTTAGGCATTGCTTTCGAGAAGGGAATCGGTGTGCAGATCTTTTGGTTAAGATCGGTCGAATACAAAGTTTGGAGGTTAAAGAACTGATTTCTCCTCCGCTAAAGGTTGAATCTCAATTGTTAACTGATGTAGTTAGTATTCCGACTTTTCGGATATAAGTTTTTTTTGTGTTTTTGCTAGTCTATTACCAAAAAAAAAAAGATACTTTGTCTCAAATTTTATTAAAATTGAATATCCATAAAATTATTTTTAAACTATCTTTATTTTATAAATTTTAAAAGTTGATATTATGTAAATTTATATATATATATATATATATATATATATATATATATATATATGTGTGTGTGTGTGTGTGTGTGAACAGGCAAATTGGAAATAATTGGACCTTTAGGGTCTGGACCTTGGAAAAATTCAAAATTCTAGAAGAATTGAAAAAAAATTATTCGCGGTAATTGAGTCTTTGATTAATTGAGATTAAGTTGAAAATAAAAAATGCAAAATTGAGTTATTAAAAGGAAAATTTTGAGTTTCCTTGTTAGGGTGAATGAAAATGGAAAGAAAATGATGTGGTGATGATAATTAAGGAAATGAAATGTAGAATTTGTAAAAATTAGAAAGTTTAGATTTCCTTTCTAGTTGAAATTCGAATTTAGGGAAAAGAAGAAATTAGGGTTCAATCACGTGGTAATTGAGAAAAATTAGGAATGAAATGAAAGAATAACTCTTTCACTAGGTTAGGCATACACAAAAGGGGTGAATATCCTTTGATAAACCTAGGTTCTTGAATCACTCAAGAAATCTAGAGAATCACTCTCTAAGTTTGCAAAGGCTGAATTTTCATTCAAATTGATCATCCATACAACTTTGTGCCAACCACCCTTAAGCAATGAGTTAGTGACTGAAATTATTACAGCAATAATGTTCATTCAAAGTCTGATTAAGCTACACTCATCAAGCTTCACTTAATGACCATTTTGTAACTGACATAGGCAACTAAAAGCACCACTCTCCCTCTCAATAATTTAGCCAATCAACGGATGGTCCACCTAGGCATTATTCAACTCATAATTAATTAAAATAATAACTCTCAATGGCTGTTTTTGGCACTCCTAGTTCAACTACAAACTTAAAGGAATTGAACCACTTAACATATTAGCCCATTATTAAAAAAAAAAAAAAAACTAAGTTCCAAAACAAAAACATTTGCACGCCAAAAATAAGGATTGGGCCTTTCTTGCATACTTTAAGTCATCACTCTTCTAACTCTTGAATGCAATTCACCATCTTGGGCCTCTCTTGATTCATGTTGGGCTCTTCTCCAAATAATATGATCATGGCTTGTTAAAAGGCTTAATGTTTTTGGTTCTTGCTCTTGTTATTGAACTTCCAAGTCCTTGAAATGTAATAGGCTCGCTGAACTCTTTGTCCTATAACTCTTGTTCATGATCTCTCAAGGTTTGATCTTCATCAGTGTGTAGGGGAGAACTCTTAATACTATATATATCTTTAAAATAACAAAGGTTAAGATCTGCAGTGAAATGATGAAATAATATAATAGTTGATTTTAAGATTAAATTAATAAATAAAAGAGTAATTAAACAGTAATTTTTCTAAAATTGTTGAGTTACACATTAGCTGCATACATTTTTTTCTCCTTTTAAACTCTTGAAGAGTTGAAACTGCCTAATTAGCCCTTTTACTATGTTTACGTCTTGGAGAAAGGCAGAGAATAGTTCGCTGCTAATCTCCTTAGTTTAGAGGTTAATTTTGTTTGGGAGTACACCACTATTATATGCATATTTTCTTTATCTTGATATTATCATACACATATTAATTATTATATTATTAATAATATTGTTAAAATAATTTATGAGGACGTAGGAAACATCTTATTTGAGTTAAACACCTTGAAAAGTTCAAACACAACCTTCCCAACCGAAACCAAAGCACTTTGAGTTTGAGGTTCCACTGCCATCGCCTACGGATTGCCACCCCACCCGCATCGAGTTGGGTTGGCTTGAATAGTCTAATCAACGGCTCTTTTTTTATATTTATTTGAGAAGAAAGAAAGTGAGTTTAATTTTTTTAAAAAGATATTAATTATTATGTTATTATCTGATGTATCAATATAGGCACCCATGGTAAAGGAATAGCCATATAGATTATCCATTCCAACACCTCAAAAAATTAGTGTAGTTTTGTTAGTCAGTTTCTAACTTTGCATGTGCAACTCTTGCTCCATTCGTAATAATGGTATGAACGAATTTAGATTGTATCATATGTTAAACGTAAGAATTTGATATATGCATACGAAGGCATATGTGACTGGATTAACTAATCAGAGTCTTTTTTGCTATGCAAAGGAGCAAGATTTCTCGATAGAAATTGGGAAACTGAATTAGGTAGAGTTGTTATTGAATTCATTTAAACGACAAACTTAAGACCCCAAACTACATTAGAAGTTGGAAACTTAACCTCGACATTTATTCTTAGAAATTACAATCTTTTTAAAGTCACAGCACCTATACATTAAAGATATATGACTATCAGTATGCATGCAGTAGTATAACTATAATCGATTTATAATATTACTAAAACGTAACAACAATTCTCATGTAGCTAAAAACAAATTATACAGAAGAGAAAATTAAAGTAAATCATATAACATCAATGAAACAGAATGAAGAAGGTGCAGGATATAGCAGCCAATTAAGACCCAAAGACAAGACAACAAAAGGCATGATTCAAAGTTAAAACTCAAGGATTGGTGGTTGAAAATGCTTTTGGAAATTCGGGGACTTTAGGGAATTCTGGGACTTTAGGCATCTCTGGTACTTTAGGTAGCTCAGGTTTTGGCAATTCTGGGACTTTAGGCATTTCAGGTAGCTCTGGCTTGGGAACTTCTGGTACTTTAGGCATCTCAGGCTTTGGCAATTCGGGAACCTTAGGAATTTCTGGAAATTTAGGTAGTTCAGGTTTTGGCAGTTCAGGGACCTTTACTTCAGGTACCTCTGGCTTTGGCAATTCTGGCACTTTTGGAAGAGGTGGCAACTCAAGTTTGGGAAGTTGTGGCACTTCTGGTACTGGCAGTGTTGATTCTAGAAGATTGCGTGCTCCCCCAACCATTGTGTGACTTGTTGCTGACATTATAGTCACAACAAAAAGTGGTAAAATTATTGTTGCCAAATTGCTGGAGGCCATGCTTGAATCTAGTTGATGACAAGAAGGGCAGGAGGAGAAGATCAATAGGAGTTGGAGTTATTTGCAATTGGTTTTGATATGGTTTGTGAATGTACTCTGAGGATGTTAGATGAGATGCTTTTATAGATAAAATATTGTAGCTCGTTGATGGGATGGTGTAAGCAAGCTGAGCTGGTGGGATGGTTTAAGTGTTGTTAGTTCAACTTCTTACCCCCACATCACAGTATCTTTTAAAGCAAACTATGATTTGAACCGTGGTTGATCAACTGATCTATCTGTATCTGAAAGGAATAAAGACATTTTTGACACTCTGGAGTTGAACAATCCCCTTTATCCAAGAAAGCCAATGTTCTAAGGGAGAAAGCTACCATAAAAGCAAGGATTACTAGGGATGTTTTCCAATCAAAGTAATTCCTTTTGCTTTCCAATTTTGTATTATTGTTATAAGAAACCAGATTCAACGTCAAAGCCAGAATACTGTAGTAAAATATAAAATGTTGTTATTTTCAATAAAATAGGTAGAAACGGATAAGAAGGTCAACATAAGGCAAAACCAATGTCAAAAAGTCAAAACTAGATGACCAATAATGAACCATTCGGGTACAGGTTGACATTACCTAGTAGCAATAGGCAAGTTTCTGAAAAGCTTTCAATGCATACCAAAGCAAGGCCGTTTTCTGCCTCAGCCTAGTTGTTGGAAATCCTTAATATTCACTTTACTTAAGCCATGGCTTATCACTATTCTATAACAATAGCTCTCTTCATAGTCATTTCACTTTCGAGCTTGGATTCTGGCTTAGCAGGTTGAATTCTTCTGCAAACTGCTCAACCTGGTGCACCAAATTTGCCCAAACCAACATTACTACCACCTTTGCCTTCAATGCAAAAGATGCCGCTTTTGCCTACTATTATCCCAACACTCCCAACCACCCACCATACCATCATCAGTCCCTCCAATCCCAACTCCATCCCTTTCCTCTCTCCGCCATCTTTAGTGTCCACATTAGAAGCTGCGGGGTATCATATACATTAGAAGCTTCTGTTCTGTTTTGTTTCTTTTAGTTTCTCATGGCATATTAATCACATATTCCACTACTTTTCGAGTTCTTGCTTGCAATTGTTAAATAAGTATAACTTGGCCCATAAGTAAATTGCCAATATGAGTGACATGTATATCATATTACAGATACAGAAAAATAAACCTGCACTTTGTTGCAACACAACCCAAAATTTCGCTTTCTAATCGCTAGTTAGGCAGTGTGATTATCTTGTCCCTAGATCTAAATTTAGCATCAAGCACATCAAATAAACATAATCAAACTTCAACTGAACAGAAGTCGGAGAATATAATTTTCAAGTTATATTAAATTTGTTCAAAATCCATAAAACCAATACGAACAAAAACAAAAACAATGTGGATGAAACAGATGGTTGCATGGCATTGAGTAACCCTCGGCATTGACATCGAAATATATAACTCTCATTCTGTTTAATGCTCAATCCGGGATATCTAATATGGAATATTTCATGGCCGCATGAGAGCGATGATCATCAAAAAGGGTAATCTGCAACAGTAAAAAGATCTCTCGTTGTTGAGATTCCCGCGGATTATCGTCACATTCAGAAGAAGAATTTACATCGAACTCGAACAGATCTCCAACAGCAGACACGATCCCTTCTGTTATTTCGCTAAGAAATTCAGTTTCAAAGCCCGGGCGCGATAACAGTGGTCGTAAGAAAGCTTGACCCTCTTCATCTTTAAAGAAGTTTTGACTGCCTATGGATTCAGAATGGCAGAATAGTATGGGTGTTGCGGTTGCACTGTCGAATGAAAAACGGAAAACTCTGATGTAAAATTTGAAAAAATCACCCTCCTTCAATGTTGAGTACTTCTTCAAGTGACGCCTTGACACTTTAATGTTGTAGCGGTCTTCCTTTCGTTCTGAGTTTATGTTCATACCATGCAAAATTAAGAACACCGTAAACATGTCAGTGAAATTATTTATTCACAAATTATTCAAATTTACTCGTCTTGTATTATCATATACACTTATTTGCAAAGCTTACCTGCAGAAAGTGAAGCCATGTCGATTAGTTTTCCGCTGCTGCAGAAACACAGAAAATTAATTATCTTCTGGAAGCCTGTTTATACCGGGAAGGATAGTGTGCCTGCTGCAAAGTTCTTCCTCCAAGTATTTGTAGTATATACAACAGAGCTATGATTAGTTTCATTATTTCTACAATTTCTTTTAGATGATGATTATTCAATTATCGATATCTTGTGTATTACAACAGAATTTGTTATTTAAACTGAAATATTTTATGAACGGCGATATCAAAACTGATTGAGTCTAACTAGTGAATTCGAAGATATATAGGATGTGTTGAGTTCAAAAAAGGTCAATTCGAAGATATACTATTAAATTGACCTAACAACAATTGATTAATTAATTAATGTAAACTAAGTTTCCAACAGACTATAAATCGCTAATTTAAACTAGGCTAAGGATGTATTTTTATAATCTTTTGAATGTTCATTTACTTGGATAATAATATAAAATAATAATTTTATTTTAATTATTATATACCGTTAATTATTTCAATAGTTTGTCCAGATTAAAATATACACTCGTGAGATCATCAAGCCTATTAGCCTATTATAATAATAATAATTTTCATTTTATTGAGTTAATTTAGTGAAAATTTTACGGTATAAGATCAATGCCCATGTTAGATTATGCTCAATAATTTTTTTTAATTAAATATAATTTTATTTTATCATTAACTAACCAAAAATATGCTTGATTGTCGTTGCATGTTATCACTATAGTTTTATTATAAATTATAATTATTGCATAAACTAGTTACATGCATAGAGCTTAAGCTACGAGTCCACTACCGGCATCTATGCATGGGAAAGCAGATATATGATATGATTCACTGATCAGCCTCTTTTGGTGTTTAGAGAGCAAGATTTCTCGGTAAAAATTTGTAATCCATTAGGATTTCTGCATTGAATTTATTAAAACGACAAACGTAAGAGCCCAAACCACATTAGAAATTGAAAACTTAAGCTAGAAATATATGCTTAGAAATTACAATCTTAGTAAATTCACAACACGTACACATAATTAAAAGATATTGTTAGTCCCACATCGGTGGGAGGTTAATGGGAGGACCTCCTTTTTCTATTATAAAAGGAAGGCTAAGGGTCCTTAACAAATTAATTCCAAAATTCCTCAATCTCCTCATCTCTTTCCTTTTTACTTTATTTGCTTATTTTGAGATTCTATTCTTAGTGAGAGTGAGATTTTGTTCTCAGTGAAAGTAAAAAGTGGTGTAATTTTTCTTCTTCAGAAAATATTTGGTATTGTTGTTATTATTTTCATTTTAGCTCTTATTTTTCTCAGCTCTTATTTTAGTTGTGTATTATTATACCGTTACTCTGGTCCCAACAGTTGATTGCGGTTTAATCCGATCTTTCACATCAAAAAAGAGTTGTTACTGGAAAAGTTTGGTAGTGTGAAACTGCTATCTGAGAAAGTTCTGGCTAGGAAAGATTTGGTATTTAAGAGTGTCTATAGTGACCCACCTCTCTTTCCTGGGAATTTTTTGGTGTGTTAGTTCATGGTCTACCTGTGTTATTCCAGTAGACAATACTATTCATAGTGAGAAGTGCATAAGTCGGTATAATAAAGAGAGAAAATATGGCAGCAAAATATGAGATAGAGAAATTTAATGGGAGTAATTTCTCCCTGTGGAAATTGAAGATAAGAGCAATTTTGAGAAAAGACAATTGTCTTGATCCAATTGAAGGCAGACCTGCAGATATTTCAGAGGAAAAATGGAGAGAAATGGATAACAATGTTGTTGCCAATTTGCACTTAGCATTGGCTGATTCAGTGTTATCCAGTGTTGCAGAGAAGAAGACTGCAAAGGAGATTTGGGACACACTGATCAAGTTGTACGAGGTCAAGTCACTTCACACCAAAATATTCTTAAAAAGGAAACTCTACACTCTTCGAATGAGTGAGTCCACACCTGTGACGGACCACATCAACAATCTGAATACGCTGTTTGCTCAACTTACAGCTTCAGATTTCAACATTGTAGAAAATGAACGTGCAAAACTTCTACTCCAGAGTTTACCAGATTCATATGATCAACTCATCATCAATATTACAAACAACAACATCATTGGTCATCTATCCTTTGATGATGTTGCCGGAGCAGTTCTTGAAGAAGAATCCAGGCGAAAGAATAAGGAAGACAGACTGGAAAGTTGTAAACAAGCAGAAGCTTTGACGATGATGAGAGGGAGATCAATGGAGCGTGGTTCGAGTGGGAGCCAAAATCATGGTAGATCAAAATCTCAAAGAAGGAAGAACCTCAAATGCTACAACTGTGGCAAGAGAGGGCACGTGAAGAAAGATTGTTGGAGCAGGAAGAGTGAAGGAGGGAAGAATATGGAAGCATCAACCTCACAAGGTTGTGTTGCTAGTACCTCAGATGATGGTGAAATTCTATACAGTGAAGCAGTAAATTCTAGAGGCGGAAGACAACTCCATGAATGTTGGATATTGGATTCAGGTGCAACTTGGCACATGACTCCATGCCGAGATTGGTTTTCTACTTATGAACCTATCTCAGGAGGATCTGTATTCATGGGAAATGACCATGCCCTAGAAATTGCTGGAATTGGTACTGTCAAATTGAAAATGTATGATGGTACCATTCGAACAATTCAAGGGGTACGACATGTGAAAGGTTTGAAAAAGAATCTATTGTCCATTGGGCAATTGGATGACCTCAAGTGCAAGATCCACATTGAAGGTGGGATCATGAAGGTAGTTAAAGGCAATTTGGTAGTGATGAAAGCAGAAAAGATCACAACCAATTTATACATGCTTTTGGGAGATACGTTGCAAGAAGTAGATGCATCAGTTGCAACAAGTCAAGAAGATGAAACACTGATGTGGCATCGTAGACTCGGTCATATGTCAGAACGAGGTCTGAAAATTCTTGCAGAACGTAATCTCTTACCAGGGCTCAAAACGGTAACCTTACCATTTTGTGAGCACTGTGTGACAAGTAAGCAGCATAGATTGAAGTTTGCCAAAGTGACTACAAGAAGCAAACACATACTGGACTTGATTCATTCTGATGTATGGGAATCACCGGAAGTATCCATTGGAGGAGCAAAATATTTTGTATCATTTATTGATGATTACTCCAGGAGATTGTGGGTGTACCCAATCAAGAAGAAATCAGATGTGTTTCCAGTATTCAAGGGGTTCAAAGCACAAGTAGAACTTGAAACTGGGAAAAGAATTAAGTGCTTAAGGATAGACAATGGAGGAGAATATGTAGATGGTGATTTTCTAGCATTTTGTAAGCAAAAGGGTATTTCAAGACAATTCACAGTACCTTATACACCTCAGCAGAATGGTGTAGCAGAGCGGATGAACAGAACTCTCCTAGATAGAACAAGGGCTATGCTGAGAACATCAGGAGTGGCCAAATCTTTCTGGGCAGAAGCAGTTAAAACTGTCTGTTACGTGATAAATCGATCACCATCAACAGCAATTGGTTTGAAAACACCAATGGAGATATGGAATGGAAAGTCATCTAATTATTCTTCATTACATGTGTTTGGATGTCCTGTGTACGTAATGTACAATTCCCAAGAAAGAACAAAACTGGATCCAAAATCCAGGAAATGTATATTCTTGGGTTATGCTGACAATGTTAAGGGGTATCGCTTGTGGGATCCCACTGCCCGCAAAGTATTTGTTAGCAGAGATGTAGTATTTGTAAAAAATGAGCTGCAGAAGGAGGAGAAAAATGACAGTACTGTTAAAGACACTACTTCAGTAGTGATAGAAAGGAAATATAATGATAATGACACCTCTGAAGCAGAACAAGAACATGAAGAACAAGAACGAAATGATGCCAATAATGGAGAATCTCAACAAATAAGACGTGAGATAAGAAGACCATCTTGGCACTCAGACTATGTTATGACAAGTCATGATGCATATTGCCTTCTAACAGAAGAAGGAGAACCATCAACCTTTCATGAGGCTTTGAGGAGTTCAGATGCTTCTTTATGGATGACAGCAATGCAGGAAGAAATTGAGGCCTTACATAGAAACAATACATGGGAACTTGTTGAGCTTCCAAAAGGTCGAAAAGCTATTAGTTGTAAATGGGTTTACAAAATCAAACGAGATGGCAATGATCAAGTGGAGCGGTATCGTGCCAGATTGGTGGTTAAAGGATATGCTCAGAAAGAAGGCATTGATTTCAATGAGATATTCTCGCCAGTTGTCCGATTAACCACAATCAGAATTGTTCTGGCAATGTGTGCTGCACATGATTTACATCTTGAGCAACTTGATGTAAAGACTGCTTTTCTCCATGGAGAACTTGAAGAAGAAATTTATATGCTCCAACCAGAAGGCTTTAAAGAACAAGATAAAGAAAACTTGGTTTGCAGATTAACCAAATCTCTGTACGGTTTAAAACAGGCGCCGAGATGTTGGTATAAGAGATTTGATTCCTTCATTATTAGCCTTAATTACAACAGACTAAAGTCAGACCATTGTACGTACTACAATAAGTTTGATGAAAATGATTTTATCATTTTGTTGTTGTATGTGGATGACATGTTGGTGGTAGGCCCTAACAAAGATCGGATCCAAGAATTAAAGGCACAATTGGCTAGGGAGTTTGATATGAAGGATTTGGGATCAGCAAACAAGATTTTAGGGATGCAAATTCACCGAGACAGAAAAGACAGGAAGATTTGGCTTTCTCAGAAGAATTATTTACTGAAAGTCTTGCGACGCTTCAATATGCAAGACTGTAAGCCAATCTCTACCCCACTTCCTGTCAGTTATAAATTATCCTCAAGTATGTGTCCTAGCAATGAAGCAGAGAGGATGGAAATGTCTCGAGTACAGTATGCATCAGCGGTGGGAAGCCTTATGTATGCCATGATTTGTACTAGACCAGACATTGCACAAGCAGTGGGAACAGTCAGTAGGTTTATGGCAGATCCTGGTAGAGAGCATTGGAATGTTGTAAAGAGGATCCTTAGATACATTAAAGGAACCTCTGATGTTGCATTATGTTTTGAAGGATTAGAATTTATTGTCAAAGGCTATGTTGATTCAGATTTTGCAGGAGATCTGGATAAAAGGAAATCTACTACTGGCTATGTGTTTACACTTGCTAGCGGAGCAGTAAGCTGGTTGTCTAAATTACAGACAGTTGTGGCTCTGTCTACTACAGAAGCTGAATACATGGCAGCTACCGAGGCATGTAAGGAAGTAATCTGGATTCAAAGGCTATTGGAGGAACTTGGACACAAGCAGCAGAATACTACTGTGTATTGTGACAGTCAGAGTGCTTTGCATATTGCAAAGAATCCAGCCTTTCATTCCAGAACAAAGCACATAGGTATACAATACCACTTTGTTCGTGAAGTAGTAGAAGAAGGAAGAGTGGATATGCAGAAGATCCATACTAAAGAAAACATAGCAGATATAATGACAAAGCCAGTCAATAGTAACAAGTTTACATGGTGTCGGTCCTTATATGGCCTATTAGAAATATAAGAAACATGTAATGTATTAGGAATGTGTGTGTGAAGATATGATTAACTTAATCATAATCTTCAAGTGGGAGAATTGTTAGTCCCACATCGGTGGGAGTTTAATGGGAGGACCTCCTTTTTCTATTATAAAAGGAAGGCTAAGGGTCCTTAACAAATTAATTCCAAAATCCCTCAATCTCCTCATCTCTTTCCTTTTTATTTTATTTGCTTATTTTGAGATTCTATTCTTAGTGAGAGTGAGATTTTGTTCTCAGTGAAAGTAAAAAGTGGTGTAATTTTTCTTCTTCAAAAAATATCTGGTATTGTCGTTATTATTTTCATTTTAGCTCTTATTTTTCTCAGCTCTTATTTTAGTTGTGTATTATTATACCGTTACTCTGGTCCCAACAGATATGACTATCAGTATATAGTGGTATGACTACAACCGATTTAAACAACCTCTGACTGAATAAAACTTGTAATCATAACAAGCAAGATTCGTAATATCATGTAGCTAAAACAAATTATACCGAAGAGGAAATTGACGTAAATCATATAACATCAATGAAACAAAATGAAGGTGTATGATATAGCAGCCAATTAAGACAACAAAAGGCATGACTCAAAATAACTCAAGGATTGGTGGATGAAAATGCTTTAGGAAATTCAGGGACTTTAGGGAATTCTGGGACGTTGGGCATCTCAGGTACTTTCGGTAGCTCAGGTTTTGGAAATTCTGGGAGTTTAGGCACTTCAGGTAGCTCTGGCTTAGGAACTTCTGGAACTTCAGGCATCTCAGGCTTTGGCAATTCGGGGAACTTAGGAATTTCTGGGACTTTAGGTAGTTCAGGCTTTGGCAGTTCAGGTAGCTCTGGTTTTGGCAATTCTGGTATCTTAGGCAACTCTTGCTTTGGTAATTCAGGGACTTCTGGAAGAGGTGGCAACTCAGGTTTCGGAAGTTGTGGCACTTCTGGTACTGATTCTAGCAGATTGCGTGCCCCCACAACCGTTGTGTGACTTGATGACATTATAGTTAGAACAAGAAGTGGTAAAACCATTGTTGCCAAATTGCTGGAAGCCATGCTTAAATCTAGGCGACGACAAGACCTGCAGGAGAAGATCAACAGGAGTTGAAACTTGGAGCTATTTGCAAATGATTTAGATATGCTTTGTGAGTGTACTCTGCGGATGTTAGATGTGATGCTTTTATAGACAAAATTGTGCATCTCATTGATGGGATGGTATAAACAAGCTGAGTTGGTAGGATGGTGTAAGTGTTAGTTCAACTTCATACCCAACACTAACAGTGTCTCTTACAGCAAACTATAATCTGAAACGTTGTTGGTCAACTGACTTATCTGTATCAGAAGGGAATGAAGACATTTTTTACACCTTTTTTAGTTAAACAACCCCCTTTGTCCACCAAAGCCAACCATTGTCCATTCCGACACACGCTTCACATCTCTAAGTGCCTACAAATAGCTTCTGAAAAGTTTTTCCATTCAAACCAAAGCAAAGCTAGTTTCCCTTAATTCGCCTTCGGCCTAGTTGTTCCATCTCTTCAATATTTAACATAAACAAATTGTATTTTCTTTATGTGAAATTAAATATAGAAATCACTAACAAGGTGCTAGAACTAAAAATCTTTCTTCTCTTTCACAAACTATATGCATTGCTAATGTTTAATTTGGCAACTTTGTAAGATGCAATCGGTATAATTCTGATTCTTGATCAATATTTACTTACTCAATCCAATTTTAAAATAATGACAAAAATTATATACAATATTACAATATATTAATATACAAAGACAATGGAAGAATGCGTAGGAAGATATATACGGGGAATATAATATTTGTAAGTTTTAGTGTTAAAATCGGATTGGATATATGGGTGATTCGAAATAAATAATTTTGCTGAGATATATTGCTAAAAATAATATTTTTTCCCTTTTTTCTAAATTTCACAAATTCTTTATGAAACGTCAGTACTTGAATTATAATAATTCTATTTCATTTTAATTCAAATTATTGAAATAAACTTATATATAATATAACAAAATTAATATAGATTGCAGCGTTGGTGCAAGCCTTTAATCGAACTAGGTGAATAAGCCTTTAATCAAACTAGTTGAAAAGCAATCTATAAGTATTTTATTTAAAAAAATGAATAATTTTTATTAAAGAATAAAATTTTACAAATATAAAACATTAAAATATACATATATATTTATTAAAAAAATTAAAAATTTTTGAAATAAAAATAATTTTTATAAATATAAGAATCTATATAAGGTAATAAGAAAAAATAAAGTACAATTTTTATATTCAAAATTTAAAATAAAATTAATAACAAAGTATGTAAAAATTAAAATTAGTATAAAAAATTATAATTCATACATTATTAATTAAAATACACACCTCTATCAATAAAAAAAATATACTAAATATATTTTATTTATATAGAAGTTAATTATTAAAAAATAATTTCACTACATAATTTACTTTTCAAGTAATAAATTACTATTTATAATATCAAGGTTGATTAATAAGATGTAGTTACACTTGAGTTTAGCAAACTAAAAAATTAGTTATAAGAAAAAGTAATAGAAAATCAAATTATAAAATAAACAAAATTTAGGTAAATGTTTTAGTATTTTTAGGGCTCTTTTTTAATCAAAACCTATACATCTAATATTATCACCTGTTATTAAAATAAAACTTTAATTATAGTTTTAAAAAAAGAAAAAAAGAAAAAGAATTATATGTTATCCTGTAGAATTACCAACTATACAATTGAATAATTGTCATTGAGTAGGCATAGGGAAGCGACAAAGGGGACATAGGTGACTAGTGAGGAGCCATGGCACAATACATGGATGGTGAAAGACATGGCCGCAAGGCATTTGCGAAAGCTTGACATCTTCGTCACATTCTTCACCTTCAAACTTCTCCAAACAAATATTACACTCTTCTTGAGGAGGAAAAGTCGTATATGTTTTCAGCAATTGGATGGCTTCGTTGGAAGCGGGAATCATTCCACCGCTGTGCTGCATTGACTCTTCAATTGCTTCACTCTCTTCGTTTCCCATCGTGTCCAAAATAATGCTCAAAACCACAGGGAACTCAAGGGGTACTGAATCTGCATATTCATTATCATTCTCAAGAGGAAGACTCTGAACCCCAAAGAGTTCTTGAACCAGAGGCATGATCCTCTGCATGATTAGATCCATGTCTTCAATGGTGAAGTATGGAGAGAATTGTGGGTCCAGTAAGAAACTTCTTAGGGAATCTCCATTATCTTCGTAGAAGCGCTTGCAACTTATGCGTGTTGAGGCTTGGAATATGGATGATGGAGATGTGTGTTGAAGTGGATCCCACAAAGCTACAGCAGTCACATCGAATCTGAAGAAATCTTTGCTTCGGGGCTTCGCGTGTTCTAGTTCTGTTGACTGGAAACTCTCCACGGGAACGTGGGAGGAAACTATCCCTTCTTCTCCGGGTGCCATGTTCAATGTCAAGAACTGTGATTTTCAGGTCTGATGTGTTTGTTTATTCTTCGTGGGTTTATATAGCAACATTGTACTCACCTGCGGCAACAGAATTGGAGAAAAACTCCCCAGAGATAAAACTTTTTAAAAATCAATCAAAAATTTATTTATTTTTTATAACGAGGAATATAAACTAAAAGGAGAGTAATAAATAGAGACAAAATCATCTTAACTTGATAGATTATTTTTATGATATATTTTTATAATATTTTTGCATCTTATTTTATTTTAATTAAGATATAAAAAATTGTAAATATTGCTGTGCATTTATCACCATTTATCTTTTATTTATTTTTTAAAATTTAAAATTTTACAGAATTAAAGATTAAACAAAAATTTGATAGAAGCTAATTTTAAATTATTTTTTTTCACAACCAGTATCTCACGTGCCGCATGTAACGTGGAATATTGTCTACTTAATTATTATTTAATAGTTCAGAGATTATTTTAAAAAAAATTAAGACCAAATTAAAAACAATTAATAAAAACTATTTTAAAAAATATCTTTTCAGAGACTATTACTTATTTAACACCTTTAATATTTATACTTACGAATAAACAGCTAAAGCCTTTTTTTTTTATCTATACCAAACAATTAACTCAAAAAGTGTACATAACTTATATCTTGTAAGTGTCGCATCATCGACATAGAACTTAATTTTCTTCAATTTTTGTGTTCGGCGTCTTAGTTATCTAACGAGGGAGTTTTTTTTATTTGAATACTTAAAATAAGTTTAACACTTTAATTAATTACATAGGACAAAACTTATACAAGAACGTGACAAACAAAATTTTATAATTTTTATTCATAAACTATTTATCATCCAAAATTATCTCCCTTTATTCATTAATTAATTATTTCTTATAAGCTATAAAAATTAACCAAGCTAAAGTAAATTTAGTAAAAGGACATAATTGACTCAATCACTACATTATTATTTGAGAAGTAAAATATTCATGCAACTACTATTTTATAATTTGTTATATGTATATTTTGGATTAAAATTAATTGAAACGATTTTTTTTTTCTTGTTATAATATTTTACTTTTTACTAATATATTTTTTAATTATATTTTAAATCTTGAAAAATAAAGTTTTTACTTATTTTTTCTTTATTATTGTATATAAATTTTTATTTTTTTAATACTTATTTTTATATTTATAAAAATTATCTTAATTTTTTCTAATTTTTTGAATTTAGAATTTATTTTTTAAGAGTCTTATCTTAACATGTCATTAAAATTGTCTCCGTCAAACTACCATTCTAAAACGTGCAATTGACGCTGTTATGTTGTGCATAAATGACCTCTTTCCCTCTCCTATGGTTTGCTTCTGCTATCATAATCTTGTGTTTTATCCTCCTATGTTCAACGTGTGTGTGAAGGGTCAAAATATATTTTGTTCAAATCACTAATCCTTTAGCTCACAAAACCATGTCCTAATACAGTAAGTCACCAACTCAGCAATTCCTCTCCTGAGAAATACAGAAAAATTAACATAAACATAAACAATATCAATATGAAGGCACAGAAAAGAACAACAACCAAGCACTAGTTCAGCAAGCTTTTACATTATATATTAACATTAATGTAAATATATAAGCAATTTGATATATGTTGTGAATGTAAGTACTATTATGATATGGAAGGTTCAACAAGGAAAATAGAAGATTTCCAAAAGGTTATAAAATAGAAACTGCTTATAAATAACAACATTTCTCAAACTAAAAACTAAACATGTGTTAGTCAAAATTTGTAGGCACCGCTCCGGAATTGTGGTTAAAGTTAGAAACTTTGTATATGACTAAAAGTCTCGCCAACAAGCTTCGTCTCAAGGAGCGATTATATGCGTTTCATATGATAGAAGATACTCTCATTCAATCTCATCTTGATGAGTTTAATTCTATTATTATGGATCTGCAAAATATCGATATTAAAATTGATGATGAAGAAGTTTTTCCCACGTTAAAATTTTATCTCCATTATTCTCTTACTTCTCTTTATTTCCAATTAAATTCGATTCAGTCTTTCACATTGCTTTGATGCCCCAACAAGTGATATCAGAGCTGTTATTTAATTGAAAATATTAAAAATGTCTACCGTTACAAAATTTGACATTGAGAAGTTTGATGGCAAGATTAGCTTTTCTATTTAGAAAGTCCAAATGAGAGTCGTTCTCACTCAGAACAGATTAAAGAAAGCTTTAGATAGAAAGTCGAAAAAACGGGCTTCCATGACCGATGAGCAATGGGACGAGTTGGATGAAAAGGCGCTTTCAGCAATCCAACTTTGCTTGTCCAAGGAGGTTTTACGTCAAGTGGCCGACGTAACCACCGCTACGGAATTGTGGTTAAAGTTGGAAACTTTGTATATGACTAAAAGCCTCGCCAACAAGCTTCGTCTCAAGGAGCGATTATATACGTTCCGTATGATAGAAGGTACTCCCATTCAATCTCATCTTGATGAGTTTAATTCTATTATTATGGATCTGCAAAATATCGATATTAAAATCAATGATGAAGATAAAGTTGTTTTGTTGATTGTCTCTTTACCTTCTACTTACAAACACTTCAAAGAAATTATGTTGTATGGTAATAATGACACCTTATCCTTTGAAGATGTTAAATCTAATTTATTGTCCAAAGAAAAATTTGATCTTGAAATCCATTCTGAAGACAAGGGTGAGGGTCTAAGTGTTAGAGGTAGAACTCAAGTAAAAAGGAGTACTAGTCACAAAAAGAGTAGATCCAAATCTAGAAGACGAAAATCCAACACTACCTGTCGTTATTGCAAAAAATATGGGCATGACATTTCTGATTGTTTTATCTTAAAGAAAAAAGAAGAAAATAAACAAAAGAAAGAAAAAGGTAAACAACCTGTTGAAACTGCTAATATTGAGACTGATTCTGATGGAGATGTTATGGCATCTGTTGTCTCTTCTGACAAGAGCGCAAAAATAAGTGGCTTCTTGACTCTGCATGCACATACCACATGTGTGCTTATAGGGATTTATTTACCACTTTTGAACCAGTTAATGGTGGTATTGTCTTGATGGCTAATGATACCCAATGCAAAGTTGAAGGAATAGGTACTATTCAGATCAAGGCTCATGATGGTGTTGTCAGGACTCTGACTAATGTTCGCTTTATTCCTGAATTAAAGCAGAATCTTATCTCTTTTGACATCCTTGAATCTCTTGGGTGCAAGTAATCATCTGAAGGTGGAGTTCTAAAGGTATCAAAAGGTGCTCTTGTTTTGTTGAAAGGTAACCGAGTTGGTACTTTATATTTCTTGCAAGATTCTGTTGTGACAGGTTTTCAGCAACTATATCTTCTTCTATACTTGATAATGATGTCACCAAATTATGGCACATGCACCTGAGCCATATGAGTGAAAAAGGCATGCACTTTTTGAGCAAGCAAGGTCTTCTTGGTAATCAAGGTATCAGTAAGTTGGAGTTTTGTGAACATTGTGTCTTTGGAAAACAGAAAAAAGTAAGTTTCTCTACTGCAACTCATCGTACAAAGGGTATTCTTGATTATATTCATTCTGACCTCTGGGGGCCTTTTAAAGTTCCCTCTTATGGAGGACGCCGTTATATGATGATTATTATTGATGATTTTTCTCGCAAAGTTTGGGTTTATTTTCTTAAGTATAAAAATGAGACTTTCCCCACTTTTAAGAAGTGGAAAACTCTTGTTGAAACCCAGATAAGGAGAAAAGTCAAGAAGCTCAAAACGGATAATGGATTGGAGTTCTGTGACGGTGACTTTATCGAGTTATGCGCAAATCATGAAATTGCTAGACATAAAACCATTCCAAGAACACCCCAGTAAAATGGTGTTACAAAACGAATGAACAGGACTCTACTTGAGAGAACTCGTTGTATGCTCTCAAATGTTGGGTTATGGCATCGACGTGAATTTTGGGCCGAAGCAGTATCAACTGCTTGTTACTTGGTTAATCGTTCTCCACACTCATCACTTAATTTTAAAATTCCAGAAGAAATTTGGTCAGGTAATCTTGTTGATTATTCCAATTTGAGAATCTTTGGATGTCCTGCTTATGCACATGTCAATGATGGCAAATTAGCTCCAAGAGCTGTTAAGTGCATATTTCTTAGTTATGCATCTGAATCTAAAGGATATCGTTTATGAAATCCTAAGTTACAAAAATTAATTCTTAGTAGATATGTGACTTTTAACGAGTATGCTTTATTATCTTCTAGAAAATAATCTTCTGTGATTTCTTCTACTAGTACTAATAATCTGCAGGGTACTAACGAGAAGGTGGATTTGGAGTTGAAATCTGCAACTCTTAATGTTGATGTCTCATCTTCTTCTATCAATGAGTCTAGTACTGATATTTGTGGTGATGATGATGTTGATGGGATTACCACTTCTCCAACTCAGCCGCAGGAAGAGGAGTATTCCATTGCCCAAAATAGACCAAGAAGGACGATTACTAAGCCAGCTAAATATGCAAATTATGTTTATGATGATAATTTAATTGCATATGCATTATCTGTTGCATAAGAAATAAAAGATGACATTGAACCAACTAGCTATACTGAAGCTGTTTCTTGTGCTGATTCTTCAAAATGGCTAGTGGTTATGAATGAAGAAATTGAAAGTTTTCATAAGAATGGTACTTTGAGTTTAACAGAGCTTCCCAAAGGCAAACGGCCTTTGAAATGTAAATGGGTCTATAAGAAGAAAGACGACATTCCTGGGGTTGAAGATCCTAGATGCAAGGCACGATTGGTTGTTAAAGGTTTGACTGAAGGTGTTGACTTTAATGAAATTTTCTCACCTGTTGTTTGTCATACCTCCATACGTGTCTTACTTGCTTTTGTTGCTTTATTTGACTTGGAATTGGAGCAACTTGATGTTAAGACAGACTTTCTGCATGGAGAGCTGGAAAGAAAATTTATATGAAGCAACCTGAGGGATTATTGTTCCTGGTAAGGAGCATCTTGTCTGTCGATTGAAGAAATCTTTATATAGACTCAAACAAGCTCCGAGACAATGGTACAAAAGGTTTGATTCATTTATGATTGGGCAAGGTTATTGCAGAAGTCAATATGACGACTGTATTTATTTTCAAAAACTTCCTGATGAATCTTACATATACTTGTTACTATATGTTGATGATATGTTGATTGCATCACGTGACAAATCTCTAATCAGGAAATTGAAAACTCAACTCAATAATGAGTTTGAAATGAAAGAATTGGGTGCAGCTATGAAGATTCTTGGTATGGAGATTTACAGGGATCGTCAAGCTGGTAAATTGTTTCTATCTCAACAAAAATACGTTGAGAAAGTGCTTAACAGGTTTAATATGTCTAATTGCAAATCTGTTTCTACTCCACTTGCTGCACATTTCAAGTTATCATCTAACCTTTGTCCTGAGACAGAGGAAGACATGGAGCGTATGTCACGCGTTCCTTATGCTAGTGTTGTTGGCAGTCTTATGTATGTTATGGTATGCACTAGACCTGATTTAGCATATGCCGTTAGCATGGTGAGTCAGTATATGCATAATCCTGGAAAGGATCATTGGAGTATTGTAAAATGGATTTTTTGGTATCACAAAGGTACTTCTGATATTGGTTTAGTATTCGATAGAAATCATGAAACAACTGAAGTTACAGGTTTTGTTGATTCAGATAATGGTGGCGATCTTGACAAAAGAAGATCTCTTTCTAGTTACATATTTACTCTCTGTAAATGTGCTATTAGTTGGAAAGCTCAGCTTCAATCTCTTCCATCATTATCTACGACTGAAGCTGAATATGTTGCAGCAATAGAGGGTGTGAAAGAGGCTCTTTGGCTTAAAGGTCTGATTAATGAACTTGGTCTTACACAGGATGTTCTTACTGTGTTTTGTGATAGTCAAAGTGCTATTTACTTGACCAAGAATAACTGCAACCATAACAGGACAAAACATATTGATGTAAGACATCATTTTATCCGAGAAATTGTTGCTAAGGGTGAAGTCGTAGTTCAAAAGATTCATACATCTGAGAATCCAGCTGATATGTTTACTAAGCCTCTTCCAAAGGCCAAGTTCCAGCATTGCTTGGACTTGGTTGGTCTCTACAGCACTTGAACGCCTTTCGAGGTTTAAACGATGCGAGCAATTTATCAAAACTAATCCAAGGTGGAGATTGTTAGTCAAAATTTGTAGGCACTGCTAATTTGTGGCTCAGTTTTTCAATTGGCACTGGCAGGCATTTAATTTATGTAGGTACCGCCCGAAAATGCATCGAATTGTCAAAATTTGCTACAGTAAATTATTGTAGCAATGTTGAAATTTTAAAAATTTACTGTAGCAGTTTTTTGCCTATAAAAGGCAACGGATTAACGAAGGGACCGATGCACATCATTCACGGATCTGTGAGAAAAAAATACTGAGAGAAAATTGAGAGTGTTATTTTGTAACTCTTATTCCATTTTGAGAGAGTATTTATTGAGAGAAAAAAAATAGAGATTTATTACTCTTTATCCTGATAATTTTAGAGGACTTCTTGTACTCTCCCTTTTACATAGTAAAATTATTTTGCTTGTCGTCGTTCGTGGGTTTTTTCTCCGATTTGGAGTTTTTTCCACGTTAAAATTTTGTCTCCATTATTCTCTTACTTCTCTTTATTTCCAATTAAATTCGATCCAGTCTTTCGCATTGCTTTGATACCCCAACAACATGATTAATTTAAATGATATGCTAATTTTTTATTGGTGGGATGGGAAAAGACAGAGAAAGGAGAAAGAGGATTTTGATTCACGTTGGGAGTGTGGCCTCAACCAGCAAAGCAAACATGACACTTTCTCAAAAGTGGCTATTTTGTAATGTAAAACTGGCTCAAGAAAAAATGGAGGAAGATAACAGCATAATGACGATAGCTTCATAACCTTAGATATATAGCTGAGATGGACTAGGTGGGAGTGGGGGAAGTAAGAGGGAGCTGAGTGACAATATCATTTTTGTTGGGAATGGAATTACTCTAAACATTCCATTAACTATATATCTAAGGTTCTAATAAAACCTCCTGCTTCAGCGTTGTTGTCACTTATATGCCATAGGAAGGTTACAATTTTGAAAATTATGTACTCGTTAGTGAGCTTTTGGTCTACGAACATATTTTTACTTATAGCAACTCAAAATTTACATAAAAAATAAAAATAAATGAATATGATTATAAGTTGTGAGCAATAAAATAAAAATATACAGATAAATAAAGGGATAAAAAAAAAGAAAAATCTATAATATAGAGGTACATACATAGGTCGTTTCATAAAAAGTAGTGTAATAAAACATCAATAGAAATTAATCTATATATAAATGGATATATTCATAATAGATAAAGTCAATAACTTTGAATTAATAAAAATTGAGAAAGTTGATTTAAAAAGAAAAAATCTTCAACAATGTGGATCGAGAGCAAGTTGGGTAGTAGGTAGCAAAATTATATTTAAATTTTATATAGGTTCAACAATGTGGCATGAAGAGTGGGTACAACAATTTTACATGTAACAAAACTGAATAGAATATTAGTATGGATATAGAATATAAGATTATTTTAATTACATGCTTATTTGTATCTCTAAAAAAGATCATATATACTAACTTTATGAGCCAACAAACAGAAACATCATATAGTATTAGAGAAGTCAAACAGAGTTATTCATGAAAGTATGTTTGGTTTAGCAATTTGATCTAACTATTTATTAATTTTATATTTTGATTGGGTTTAGAAATCGTAAGAAAAATTATATTTTTATTTGATTTATTGTTCATAGACTCCTTTTGTCCTAAGTGTTCTCATTGAAAATATTAACTATTAATTCTTCTTCCTTTAAAAAAGTTTAGTTTTGCTTAAAATAATATCATTTGTCTATTGTAACTTTTATAACTTTATTATTACTTGAATTGCTACCTTAGCTAGATATTATATTTTTTATTTATCTTAAATACTTTGATATTGAAAGAATAATATGTTATTTGATAAATAAAAATGAAATATTTATCATGATATAGATGTCATGAGTAAGTTTAAAAAGAACTATTCTTTATTAATTTAAAATAAGTTAGCCTTCAAATTCAATAAATGACAAACTAATTCATTCGGCATCCAAAACATATTTTCTAGATTTTTTAGTTTTAAATCATTTTCATTTTTTATAGTTTTTCTTTTTTTCCTGTTTATAAAACATAAGAATTAATTCTAATCTGAATTAAATTTGTATTTTTTAAATTTTAAAAAATATATATGAAAAATAATATGTTTTTAACAAATTTAATTTTTGTTTTTAAAATTTTATTAAAGATTTACATTTACCTCAGTATATTTATTATAATGATTTTTACATTAATTTGAAAAGTATTATCTCTTTATTTGATTGTTATTTAATATAATAAAATATTCGTTATTAGTAAATTAAATATTTATTATTTTTCACCTCATTTTATCTGTTTAATTTGATTTAAATTTAAAAATATCCGTGTAATTTGCCTCTGTTAGTTATATATTTCAAATCTTGATATCACGCTAGTGATCAAAGCAAGATAACGAGCAGTTATACATTTCAAATCTTCTTATCGCGTTTGAAGATTTTAGGAATAGTAGCTAATCGAAAAGGAGGTATCTAACAAATAGTATCCCTCAATCCATCAAACAATACATACATCAAAAATAGAAATTTGAAAGTTTCTTGCTCCTTCATCATCATGGAAGTGGCACTGTGCCATTATCACATCTATAAATCTCGTGATGAAAGTAGGAATCCCATGCTCACAGACTGGTTTAGATTCAATGTTAGCATTGTTTATCGTTCATCGATTCATTCAAACAGCACCAGCTACGAAAAGTTTTGTTTCGTTGACATTCCAATCGTAGTTTGCAAAAGCTTCTTCACACGAGAGGGTCACAATTTCCTACGGTCACATTTATTACCTGTTCGATATTTCACCCCTGAACTGCTTGAAAAGATAATACCCCCAATAGCATCATGGGTTAGAGGATTGTTCAAGTTAACTGATAATAATGACCCTGGACATGCTAACGCTATGGGTTTGCAACCCCATGTGTTTCCTTTGAACTTGGACATTGAGTTTGAGTTGCCATGCGATCAATGTGAGGGTGAAACGACGAAAGAGTCCATTGGCATGCAACAGGTTAAATCCATTATTTCACCTTCTGAGAACGCTAACGCCACCGCGTCGCCACAGACGGAGTATTGTACAATTTGCTTGGGTGAGTGTCGATGGTGTGATGGTGATAACATGTAGTATGCATCTGTAACCATTGTGTCTCTACTTTTACCAATATAACCACTGTTAACTTCAGTTACATTCGTTGACTCTTTTAATAGATGTCTCTCATGTTATAGCGGCCATTGTTGCCTAATGATATGTATATGTGACGGTTTTATTAATCCTCTCTTTTTTTTATCTCTTTTAATTACATCACTGCTTGTTGACACGTACAAAATAAAATTCTGCATTGACTTTTTTTATTTGATTAATAATTATCTAATAAAAATGCAATGATATTTTTACTAATAATAGAATTTTTTAAAAATTAATTATCAAAATAATCGATGTAAAGAAGTGTAGTGATAATTTTCACGTTAGTTTAATTTAAAATGTAATATTTAAGAGACACATCCAAATTGAAGACCAGAAATACAACTTTTGAGCTTTTGTTTGAATTTTTTTAGTATATTACCCTAAATAACACATTTCAGTTCAATCAATGAGATAATCTTGTTTTCATATTAATGATCAATCTCGTATATAATATTAACGAACATTGTAGTTACCATTATAAATTCAATGAACATTGGCAAACATTGCATTTATTATTATTTATAATTTTATAATTTGTCTAATAGTATATTGCAATCTTGATTTTTCTATTTTCCTTCTCAATTACTTATTTTCTTAGCTTTAACTTTCAAAATTATTAGAACATAAATAATATGGGCATCTTAAACATGGAAAGAGAAACACTTTTTAGACTAATTATTTTATAACTGATATAAAAAGTCATTAGTTACTTATATTAGTTGGATTGAAATGTTTTTAATTGATGTTAAAAGTAATTTTAGCACTAATGATTTTTTTTTATTCTCTCTATGATAAAAATTATTGTGACAATAAGTAAAAATTGTTAAAGCATAATCACATGCTACAAAGCGTACGATTACATGTTAATTGGACTGTGTTGTGTGGTTTTCGGTTAGTACTTTGGTGTCAACTAAAAGAACCAACACAGGGTAAAGGTCGGTTTTTTTAATTAGAACAACATAGGGTGACGAACGAAAATACAACATTGTTAGCTGACCATCAGGGACAAATTATGATTGCATTAAGTCAATAGAAGAGAGACTAAATTAGATAACTCGTGAGAATTCAGTACTTAATTTATAAAATAAGTAAAGGACTTTCATAAATTTATTTAATTAAAAATAGTCAAACTTTACATCATTTAATAAAATTTTTAAATTTTTGAAGCTGACTTATTTAAATAAATAAAAATAAAGTAATAACAATTTGATGTCAATAATTTATTAAATTTTACTATAGTCTTGAGGATGAATTAATGGAACCTATTAAAATTGCTCTACATTATTTAAAAAAAAATAAAAGAAACTATTGAAAATTTTTTGCTCTCGTTCTCAATTTTTTTTTGTTTCTCATTTAGTTTAATTTAGATCACGTACTTAGATGTGGTACTGAAAAGTTTTACATACACATTAATTTTTCTTTATTTTTATTCTAATATTGTGTTTACATAATGTCTGATAGAAAATAGAGCAATGAAAATTCTTGTCTATACAAGAATTTGTGGCCAAAAAAAATTAACACAAGCATGGTAAACAATATCTACATTAAATAACTATTCGTGAAAAACGGACAAATTTACTTCAACATGTGTATATGTATTTTTTAATTAATGCCAATAAATTAAATTCAAAATTGAAAAAAAAAAATTAGTAGGTGCGAGAAACATCATTATGGTATAACGGTTGCACAACTATGAAATTACACAGATGTATGCTAGCCATCAATCATATAAGAGGCTACCAATTTTCCTGAGCATATACATATATATGTTTCTTTCGATACCAATGAGTTAAAATTGATGAAATGGTGGTGCCCATTTTCTACTGCATCTTTCATGAACACAACGTATGAAGTAAGAAGCCAAGAATTTGTTAAATAGACAGAACCCCAGCATCACATTGTAGAAATTTATTCAAATCATTTGAATTTCAACATTTCACAAATTTTACAGAAATAAATAGTTCAGCGTTCGGCCTGTGCTTTCTAAAATCCTATAAGTATTAATGTTAAAAAAGAAATACAATACATCATTAGAAAATATAAGTAAAACTCAGCACCATAACATTTTGTTGTCCACTGCAACGTTACCACTTTCTGCCATTTTGGTTTCCCTATAATCCAATGTCCATTTCTCAAACGAACAGTCAACAAAGTCGTAGTAACCACCATGAACGGAGAGTTCCCCATTTGCCACCTTTTCTTCTATGCATGGATAATTAAGTAAATTCAACAAGGAATGATTTACGGATTCCTGCGCAAAAATCACCTTGATGGTAAAAACTTCAAAGTATTCAATGAAATAAGCTTTTTACATTTGTGAAATTCCCACTAGTTGGATCATATCAGTTAATAAGAAACAGAAACATTATAGTAATACTCTATTCAGACTTAAGAATCAGGACTATCAAAAAGCTGAATAGAGGAGGGCTTGTTTAAAATAAATTATGACACCCCAAGGTGCACTAATCATGCCAAGTTGGCCAATTTCCATTAAATTCAAAAAAATTATGAAGAATCCTGTTCTGAAGAAAAAGTGAAAAACAAGTAAAAGCAAAATAATACATCAAAAAGTTATTACATTAATATAGACACCAAAATCAAGTCATGAGAAACTGCAGATAACGCTTCATTATTCCTATGATCCTATCTATGTACTCACAGGATGTCCAACTCACACACCCTCCCATCCACAAGCTGTGAAACATCAAAACCATCTAGGCTTATTTCAGGATAATCCATATTATTCAATATTTTGAAATTTCACCAACATTAGATTATAAAATTAAATCTGAATCGAAAAATTATCACCTTCTCACAATGCCTGCACTGCTGATCAAAGCCGAGGTCAGAAGCAGCTGCCTCAGTTTTTATTCTGGCATTCTTCCCAACAATAATCCAACTTTTTATAAAGCTACGACAGAAACAAATAATTCAACAAGTGAGAAAAGTATAATATATTTTACCAAATAAAACAAGGACAACCGGCAGCTAGAAATAAGCTATTCAACCTTGCAGTGGCATCATCTTGCATACTCATAAGGGTACGTATTCCTCCACAGCAGCTGTGGCCAATGACCAAGATGTGCTCCACCTGAAAAAAAATTATTGTTTATGCTCTAAAGAAAGCATAAATCTCCAGTTTTCTGACCAGGTATTTAGAAATCTATAACAATCCTTGATACTATTCAGTTAAGATATTATTTAGGATTTCTAATTTGAGGTCATTTTGTATTTATGGATTTCATCTTAATTTAGGGTTAGTTAATTATCTTTTGTCTTTGATTAGATTCTGTTAGGTCGGGGCCTTACTAGTTTTGGGCCCTATTATGTTTTGGCTTTGTGAGGCTATATTATGTTTTAGTTTTTGTGATTGCCTGGTGTTACTGTTGTTCAAGCTTAAAGGAACAACTTTACCACACAGTCATAAAACAAGCAATGCTTTATATCACTGAATGATGAGCAATAAAGTGCCAACAAAAGCATAAGTATTAGAAATGAGAATGATGTAAAAGATGAGTGAACATACAAGCATACATAAGATCAAGAATCATTGTATTATAGAGAACATAGGCGAGTAAGAGTAGCACCGATTGAGGACAAGATGGGAAAATTACATATAAGATGGTCTAGCCATACAAGAAGATGACTAATAGAAGCCCCGATAAGAATAGATAAGTAGATGGCAATAGTTAGAGATAGAAGACCAAGAAAAACACTAAACGAAACCATTAAAATGAAATAAGATCTAAATGGCCTCTCCAATGACCTAGTTTTTGACAGAACACAGTGGCATCATGTGATATATGGTAAGTGGGAAAAGACTGGTATTGCAACTGTTGTTGCTATGCATATACGGCCATAAAGAAAATATAGATAAGCAAATAAGTAAACAGATGATAGGCAAATAAATATAAGCATTAAAAGTGTTTCAAAATGTAAGGAAAAATGCTTACTTCAAGAGTGTTTACAGCAAATTCTAGAGCAGCATTTGTTTCTGAAGGTCCACTCTGTGACAGAAAAGGAATACAATTCAAGTCTCAACACAACATAGTCGTGGCACACAAGACTCCTATTTTAGTTTTTGTTATTTTTATCATTGTTTTTACTGATCTTTCTAAAATAAGGTGACATGTCCATATCAATACAGGAATATGCTTTTCTGTTATTTGATTCCTTCTTATGCCTTCCTAGGTTTCAGGCCATTCTTTCTCTTTTGTACAGCATATAAATATGTAATCATTGACAATTGAATACACACAGAAATTTATACCATTTTGTCTTTGTCAAATATTTCAGCTTTTTTTCTGTTATGGTATCATGAGCCTTTAGGCTGCCATGGCAGACACGCATACAGCATCTTCTGATACGGAGGAAGAATCTCCTCCTCCTCCTCCATTTGTTGATCCAAGCCAAAATCCCTCCAGCCCTTTTTATATCCATCCCAATGAGAGCCCTTCTGCTGTCATTGTTTCCCCTCCTCTCACAGATCCAACTACCAGTCATGGTCTCGTTCTATACGCATGGCTCTTATCCCCAAGAACAAAATGGGATTTCTTACTAATCCCTACTCCTGCATCCACAGACGCCCTTTACCCTTCGTGGGAATGCTGTAACACCCTTCTTATGTCATGGCTTCTCAACTCTCTTTCCCCCTCTATTGCTCAGAGTGTTATCTTCTTTGAGAAAGCCATTGACATCTGGACTGATCTCCGAGAGCGTTTTACTCAAGGTGACCTCCTGCGCGTTGCTGAGCTTCAGGAGGAGATTTACTCTCTTAAACAGGATTCCTTATCTGTTACTGATTACTACACTCATCTCAAGACTCTTTGGGAGGAGCTTGACAATTTCCATCCTTTGATCCCCTGCACTTGCTCTGCCAAGCAATACCACCAACAGGACTTTGTCATACGATTTCTGAAAGGGCTCGATGAAAGGTTTGC